CAGATAAGTATAGTTTTAGGACTATGTTGCTCTTCGTTATCTTCCTCATTTTCGTCAAACGATGTTGTAGAGCGATTCGATGTAACGTTGTGATTTTTAGGTTTAGAAAGATCGACGCTGGCAGATGTTTTTACTACTCCTAGAACTGACAAATCCATCAATGATTCTGTGTCTCCGTACCCTACAACCCTAACCACCTTATTATCACTGTCTTCTTTCGTGGCTGTCACCAATTCATCCAAGGCATGTTCTTCTAAAGAGCGGTACTCCCTTTCAAACACGCTTTCAATAATTACGTCAATAATCTCTCTCACTATTGTCTCAGCTAAAAATGACTTTTCTGTGACAATTGGCGATTCAACCTCACAATCACTGGTATATATTTCTTCGGAAATCAAACTTTTCATTCCTGAGGATCCTGTTGAGGCATTTTCCCCAAATAAATCGCTTGTGCTTCTTTCGAAATGGAATATTTCATCAGCTTTTGTTTTTTTATAATTTTTAACATTGCTTTCATGATTTCTCTTTTTTTGTTCCGAAATATTTGTATCGCAATCATTATCATTTGTTTGGTTGAAATCTAAACAAATCAAGTCATTAGTATTCTGCTGATTTTGGGAGTTTTTATCGTGTTCATTAACAAAGAATTCACTTTCCTTAATTTGACTGTTGGGTGATGGAGTGATACTAGGTTGTTTTTCCGATGATAATATAGTTTCTCCGAAACTGTTTTTGACTTCTGATTCTTTTTCGAAATTCGGTGAGTCTGCTTGAATGCTACTAGTTGTAGATACTTTATTTTGACCACAACAGCATTTTTCATTTGATTTTATTGTGTAGCTACTTAATTGGAAACCGTAGAACGAAGGATCGACACTGAGATCGACCTGACTGCCTTTATCAAATGTTGCCTGGGAGCCGAATTCTCGAATAAAATCGAAATCTTTCTTAAGAGCAGCTTCGGCTGATTCAAAGGCAGCTATTTCTTCTTTATTTATGGAGGCTTCGCTGATACTCGGAAGATTACCTACATCAGAACATTTCTTTACATTTAAAAATACGTCTTTTGCGCAATCTTCCTTTTCAAGGGCTCTAAGCCAGCGACTGAATCTGAGCCTCCTACCATCCAGAATCACCCACCACGGTTTGACATTTTTCCTCGGATCTTTGTTTCTCTCAACAATAAGCGATGTCATTCGTACTCGATACGATTCGCCATCTTTAATACAGTCTGATGTTATATTTTCACCAAAAGATGTCATTCTAATGAACGATTTTACAGCACCTACAAGTTCTGTGCCTTTTCTAAAACCCAGATCAGATCCGAATGTATATGACGCTGGTTCCCCTACTTCCGTTCTCTTAGGGAATGAGGTTTCTTTGAAGATCTTCACTGCTTCTCCAATCAATTTATCATCAGAGTATGCCCGGAATACCACTTTCAATTCTTCTTTCGATTTGTCCATGGCAAAGAGAACAGATTTTCCTGAGGAAACCATAATCTTACCACTACCGGTGCCTCTACCGTAAAGAGTCTGTACTCCTCCATCATTGCCTACGACCATCTTGATGGCTTGGCCTTTGGGAAATCTGTCGAAGTAGCCATTCTCTAAGTGATATTCCAAATGATAAAGCAACGGCTTCATTTCCTTTAAAATTTTAGCACCTAAAACCTAAAAAATACCTATTAACTAAAAAATAAACGATAACCTAGATATGCCAACACGTGGCTTTTACATAGCTATTATTAAAACAAGCATGTGACAAGTATAATTAATTTTTGTATAATTTCCTTTAGATTTCAAGTGAATGTCGAAATTAGTTTATATAGATCCAATTAATCTCACTGCTGACTATCAATCGATTGCTTTTGATAGATTTTGAGATCGGTGATTAAAAAAATCAAAAACAAATCTGATTAAAATTTTTATCTGGAATTTTTAAAAATCATTTGATGATTTTTATTTTTGATCATAAGTGATAAAAATCATATCCTCATCATTATTTTTGAACAATGAAATCTTATATTAGAAGGAATGAAATCTTATATTAGAAGGAATGAAATCTTATTTGAAAGTATCCACAAGGGCAAATTGGTCTTATATAAAATATATTAAAATAGCGTTTGTTAGTTTTTAGATCCTACGTCAGATAAACAAAACACGAAATCGATACATAATCAGAAGATGACAATTTTAATCACAAAAAAAATAATTCAGTATAATAAAAAATGAGTGAAAATAGCAATATGACAGAAAAAAACAAGATTTTTTTTTCTTTCTATACTTAATACATTTTAGTCGATCAATATAACGCAATGTGTTTTGAGAGATAAACTTATCTCGTGTCAAACAATTGTGTAACTCATAAAATTTAAATCAACTTTAGATTTATCATTTACTGAAATGAAATCGTATTTTAAGAGATTGGTCACATTTCACTGTAATTCACACGTATTTTTTATATTTTTGTAAAAAAATAAATAAATTTTCTTAAAATGATCACTTAAACTATAGCAGCCAACACTTATCTTGAAGGGTTTCTAGAAGCCAGATAAGACAGGCAAAAGGTCTACTATCACCTTGATGTTATTGTTGTGATGAAAAGCTAATGCACTATAACGCCAATAAACAAATCAGTAATATTACGCATCTACCCTTAAATAATTCTCGTATTTTTTTCTTTTTTAATAGAGGATTGTTTGGGAGAACAAAACAAAAGTCCAGAGAATCGACTGATGTTACAGTAGATCGATGTTTTGTATGAGTGTCCTTTCTTAAATGGGTTTGATTTTCATTAACTAGCAGTGTTGCCGTTTGTACGAGGATCCTCGTATTTGTACGAGGTTATGACGTAATGTACGAGGTACGAGGATAGATCAGCCTCGTACCTTGTACATAACTTTTGCTGACGTTTGCAATGCAAGGTTATATTTTTATGAATGAAGTTTAGAATTGTTTTTTATGGTTACTTGGCTGTATTATTATTTATGTTGATATGAAATAATGAACTTCTGTTGTTTTATAGATAAATACATTGCAATTATATCTTCTTTAATTAGAGTATGATTATTATTTCCTTCATAAAACCGTGATTGTATATATATGTTTTTTTTTAATTTTCTAGAAAATAAAATTTTTTTTTAGATTTTATTTAGTATAAAATAAAATATAAGAAACCATATCCATTATTTCTTTCATAAAACTTTTTTTATAAATATGTATTTTTTAAAATGTGTTGTAAAAGAAAATTAAACAGAAATTTTTACCGTCATTTTTATCGAGCATAAAATAAAATACGAGAAAGTATATCCATTATTTCGTTCGTAATTATTATTTCCTTCATAAAACTGCAATTGTAAATATATTTTAGATAAATTGATTTTTTTTTTAATTATTACCGTAATTTAAAAAAATTATTTTCGATATTTAATCTAGTAAAGTAATTAATTGAAAAATTAACTAGTATTCATAATGAACCCATCTTAAATAATGAAAAAAAAATATTTTTTCAGTGGTCCACATTTATTTTGTGCGAAATATAAGTGTAAGCTAAATACTGAAACAATCACAATCTATTATTTTTTTATATTATAATGGATATCTCTAAAAGCATCAATGCCCCAATAATTAATTTTTATTAACCTTCCAGAACCACTAACATCCTTTCATAAAAGTAGTTGTTTTGTTTTTAGAAAAAAGAAAAAAAATTAGTCCTTCCCCCAAACTAAATCATGGATCTACTTATAAAGAGTACTTTAAGAAGTTTATTTAGCTATTTTAATTTTTATATAACGTGTTCAATAGTTTATAAAAATATATAAACTTTTTTATATATTTTATTAAGCTAATTTTACTTCTTGACCCATTAACTTAAAAAAAAGTAATGTAAAAAGGCTTTAAAATATATGAATGGAGGTAAAAATAAAAAATTCTGATCTAATTTTACTATAAAAAAAACAATAACACTGGGCTTATAATAGTACAAGTTATGAATGAACAAGCGTACGAGGATGTACGAGGCTTGAGTAAGATGTTTTGTCACAGAGCGCGCGGTAACACTGTTAACTACTGTCCGAATTTAGTTTATATCTACACCACATTCGTGAACGGCTGAATTATGTTTAAAGTAGCGCCATAAACATCGGGATTCATGACAATCAATCAGCGATGAGATAAGAAACAGGTGTCTCGTTCAAGAGCGAGCTTCAATTGTAACATAACTCGAGATAATCCAATCCGGCAACATTCTCTTATCTTTTTTTACTCTTTAATTTAATGCAGTAAAAACAAATCTTATTTCATAACAGTTCTTGGCGGCCATGGTTTCATCAGTAGTAGCGTTGTCCACATATTCCAAGTAATTTTTCAAAATTAAATTAAATGTCAATCAGTTTTCTCTTCTTTACATACAGTATATAATGCCGACAAATGTAGTTTTTAAAACCTCTGTTATTAGAACTATCGAAAATTCTATATCAGAATTTCGAAACAAATAGTTAATTTTGCCCAAATGCGAGACCAAGACTCGTCTTGGTCTTGCGCAAGAGTCTTGCAGTTACCTATTAACATATGTTTCAGATAGAGGAAACCTAACTAAGCTCGAATGAAAAATTGGAAGAGTTAAATGCAAAAGTATATTGGTTATACTAATTTTTTACATATTGTAACTAAAATTGTCAAGTATTATTAGTAACTATTTTGCCTTAATTTTTATTCACAAAAGTGATTTTTTTTTTACTAGCATTGGTTTTGGTCTTGCAACAGTCAAGTGTTCTTGGTCTTGGTAAAGTGCAAGACCAAGACCGATTTTGGGCAACACAACAAAGAGTATAGCGACATAAATATATTTGCAAGCCAATAACTTACCAGACTCAATCTATGTAAGGTTGAGGTGAATCGTTGCAAAATATTAATGATTGTATTTTTCATTTAGACACAGTTTTTTAATAAATAATAAAGATTTATATTGAAATTTCAAATTATATTTGTATTACTCACCTATACAAGATGATACATCCAAGACCCCTGACCCTTTCATGCAGGGAGGTGGTATGGTCAGGTTCTTGATGGAGCCAGGGCAGTAGCACCGCGACTTTGGATTGGTCGCCGGGTCGCCGAAGACGTCAGGCGCTAGTACGAACCTGTATCCACCGATCCCTTCGAACGAGACGTCTGTCTCATATTGCATCTGTAATGTTCTGAGCAATTTATTAAAATTATCTGTTAACGAATAATAGGAATTCATATTGATATGTTGTATATTAATCAGTCAAAACCTTGAGGTCATCTTTGACCAAACTTTTTCATGGAAACAACAGATCTCCCAAATTTCTAGCTAAATCATATCAAACATCGAACAATTTAATCACCTCCTTCCACGTAAAATCTGTCAACTCTAGTCTAATACCTTGTGTTCCCTCACTTATCAAAACTGTAGTCATACGACGAACTCTATGTCGAACTTGAAATAAAACCTAAACGACTTATGATTTGCCAAGTTAAATATGTTTGTGAGATCATTAAAGATAGCTTAAAGTGACTCTACCCATCTCCTTAGTGTCTATATTTCTTTGCGTCCTTCCTATTTCACGTAATCAGAACCTGGCGCACCCCCTGTATACTACAGAATCTGCTATTCTGCCATCCAATCCCGTTTCATCTGATCACGTTCTCCTAACCTCTATTCTCCTCCCCACCTAACTGCTACGTTTGAGAAAACCTACCTAACCCGAGATACCTCACTTTGGAACATTATCACACCTATCATCTGCCATGCTTCAACGGTTTCCTCGTTCAAATGTCTCTTCTCTTCAATCACCTTTCTCTCGCCCAGTATAATTAATATTATTTCATACGGAATCACGTCCTTCTATATTTTAAGTGCTTCCCATATCAAATTCTAAAGCTACTTCATATTTTTACCTAATTTTTAAAATGTAGATTTAAAAGTTTTGTTGTTTTAAAACTCGTGATTGATAAAGAACTAGTCGCGTATTAATTTAATCGAAAGAACCTAGTTTCTAAAAAAGAATTTAGTATTCGTAATGTAATTTTCTTGATTGTACTCATTATTGATTCCTCATTCTTCGGGTATTGTTTTTCGAATTAGATGCATTGTAAATTCTTACTGTATTTGTTAATTCTTTCAATTGACGTGGTTACAGTTCTCACTCGTGGCTTATTGCCAACATCTTTGATATTCACATAAGCCTTCTCACGAAATCATGAGATACATCCTGATAACTTCCCCTAAGTGATCCTCTTTGTTTCATCTCTTCCAATAAACTATTATGCTTTGTCTCAAGGAAAACATATTTTTAAAATTACCTGAAGATAAACGATTACACGAGGAAATAGACTATAGAATGAATCTATATCTTTTATTACTCCATCCTTCGGGAAAAAAAATCCAAAAACTTTCCCCTCCCTCAAAATTTGAGGTTTCCGACTTTTTTTAAAAAACATAAAAAGGATCCTTAAAATATGACGATTTGAAATGAAATTAAATGAAAATCCTGAGATTGTTGTCCCTTTAGGACAAATTATAGATACAGAAAAATGCCTGTGTGGCCATACTTAATTAAATTAAAATATTGGAAGAAGAAAAAAACATACAGATATATATAAAACAAACATGGAAAAATAAAATAACATAAGTAAACTAAATCATTTCTGAGAGAACTTAAAAAGTTCTCTTATGTAAATTTCGTGATCAATCGGGTTGGGAAAGGAGTAGGTGGTTAAAAAGAAGAGATTTAAATGAGGAAACTGATTGTACATGTCGGATATCGGGAGGGATGGTATTCCAGAAGGAGGCGGCTTGAATTATGAAAGATTTTCAGTTTGGTGAGGAGGGGGATAGAGATCGAAAGTACGGAATCAAGTGGGACGGGATTGAATGGAATATTTAAATTGTAGGCTGTAAAAAATATAGGAGGGTAGCTGAGTTCTGATAGCTTGGTATAGAAAGGTAGCAAGGAAGTTCAGTCGGCGGTTGGATGGATAGAGCCACTTTAACTTGGTGTAATACTGGGTTATATGAGTATCTCTTGAAATTCCGAAAACAAAACGTAATGCGCAATTCATTAGACGTTTAAGTTTCACCTCAAATTCTCCCGAGAGTCCGCCGTACACCAGACAGCCATAGTCGAAGTGGAGGAACACAAGAGATGATTTGGTGCAAATAATGTCGATTAGTTATTTCAGTTACTTACGATTGCAAATCGTAGGTGAAGAGTGGGATGGACGTCCTCTTGTTGAACGGGGACAGCATGGTCATATCATAGCCGTCCACGATGTTGGCGGAGTCGCACTTCCAGCTCGTCAGCTTCCTCCGCCCGTCCATGGATACGATCCTTCCGATCATATTGGGGTCCCTGGATCCTCTGTTCAGCTCCATCACAGGCCCTAGCTCCTTCTGCAAGTTCATCCAAGTCATAAATTAATAAATAACTTGGTCAGTTAAAATGACCTCTGTGTGACATAAGTAAAAATTGTTCTATTTTAACAGTTTATTTTGATTATAATCCTGGACTAAATTGGAAATATTATAACTAAATCGACGCAGAATATACTGTACTTTAATTCTGGAACTAACTATGAAAGTTTTAGATAGAAAGCAGCGTTTTCGAGACATAAATCAACTACTAGATAAATTCAGTTTTCGATCAGACAGTTCTTGTGGCCAACCAGCATCTTGTCAGCCGTGTTCATTATAATTACCTGACAACTAAACTACTTATAAATATATAAAATCATAAATGAATCCCAATGATATGATCGCACTTACAAATTTAAAAATGGCAGCCATGAGATCGCCATTATCAGCAAGAGACAGATATGGCAGAGGGAGGAACCGCTTGAAGGCGGCGCAGAGGAACTTGACGATGAAGGGCAGGTTCCCGCTGCAGTGGATCCTCACCCCGCCGAGGAGGATGTCGTGGACGGAAGCTGTGAATACAGGGCCGTAGTTTTCCCTCGCCATCGTTGGCAGGGCGAATTCGATAACCTCGTTGGTTAGGTTCAGTGCCTGCAGTCCGTCTATTATTTTAGTCACCACCTGAAACGTCATAATCATGCAAATTAAGGATATCGGAAATATATTAAGATAAAGGAACAATATTAAATATCCTGTACCGTTATGGTATACCTTAGTTTCATGTTTAATGGTCACAAATTCATATAAGAGAAGACAATCTTAAAAGTTTAAATGTTTCTATAAGAAGCTCCCAATAATTTCTTAGCAATAAATTTTATTCTTTATGAATTCCTTTATTTCTTTTTAGATTTTACTTTCATTGACGTATCATTTTAAATCCTTAATACATTTATACAAATATTTTTCTCATAAAATGCCACCAAGAAGATGACATATATCGATTCGTGTTGTGAGCCGATCGCACAGCAAGACCTTCATCCTTCCATCACCAGATCTGACCTTCCACTGACCTACCAGAAGACCTGAACATGATCACAGGATCACAGGATGAGAGGTCAGGGTTATACAAAGGGTGCAATCGCCGTGTATTTTGTGACCTTGTGTGGTACGAAACTACATTCCACGTTTGGAATCTTTTAGTATCAGATATTTTGTACAATAATTATTCCTTATTTGGTCTATGAGTTCTCAATAAAATTGCTATTGATGATGTCTTTATCCTGAAGCAAAGCGAGCAAATCAACCCCTTTATCTTTGGTAATAGTAAATGAGTTTGAGAGAACCATTTCTACGTCTTTTGGAGTATTTACTCTGATCCTATATTGTTGTCTTAGAAATTGTTAAAGATTGAAGAAATTTAAAAATAATAATTAATTGATATCAGTTTTACATAGATTTCAAAAAATACTCCGATGCTATTGATTGTAATCAAATAATGTTTTGATAGAGTAGGATTGATAAGATTTTAATCTATGAAAGCGTTACTCTGATAAAGATTAGATGACATAAAAAACGAGCATGCTGGAAATATTTACTAAGCGAGTCCAGAATGGGGTGGCACGACACCTTGAGGAGGGCACATTAGAGTACGATATTTTGAATTTATAAGAAGGGCATATTTTTTCCTTCTTCTTTTCGGTTAGCCGGTACCTCTCCATTTTTGGCAGAGGGAAGGAGGGGGGATTGATCCAGAGCTACCAAACTGTTAGCTCAGTTTATATACCGGAATCGAACCAAGAATCAAGAATGTTAAAGCGAGCAATACTTGAACACGTTCGGCCATCATGATAACGTATTCGCGGAGAAGGTCATGCGCCATTGAGCTTGTGGAATGGGCAACTCTAATATTCAATATAATTAGAGGACAGATTGGTATTTTTTTCGCTGATTCAGATCTGTTCAGGTTTAAAACAGGGCAACTTCCTGTCCCTTAGTATATGTCATTAAGAACAGGAACAAGACATCAGAAAGATAAATTAAATTTAAAGGACTTCAAAACCTGTGCATTGCTATGCTTATAATTTCTAGTTAAATTAAATAGAAGAATGCTACGAAATCATGGTTTAAAAAATCAGATTCATATGTACATTAAAAAAAGACACTTACATGGACCACTGGATTGATTATAGAGACAATGTCCTTGTCCGATAGGCTTCCTGATTGTTTCTGGTCGAATTCAAAATCTATCTTTTGTCTGTAGAAGATAGTGTCCCTCTCTTCGTCTATACGGATGTCCACCTTTTCCCACTTTTCTCTAAACACATCTCAAAACTGTATGCTTATTAATTTGGCAATGATACCTAGTTCTGCCATAAATATTGTTACAAAAGTACAACTTTGTTTACATCCTTGTATTTAAATAATTCTTACCTCTATCAGATTATTTTCTTTATATATCAGAATAGTAACCCCATGAGTTTGTAATTTTCTTTCGCTCAGTTAACATGGAGTGGGGTGATAATGAAAACCGAATAGCTGTGATCGCCTTACATAAAGTCAAAAATGTAGGTCAGAGGTTTGAATCTTTTGGGTATCAGCCGTATGTTCGTGTACCGCACTGTAAATAGATATAATAAGACCCTATCTGTATGTGACATAATAAAAAGTGACCTTAGGATGGGTGAATTCCGAAGAATAACAGGAGAAGGGCTAACAAACTTCCCAAAAAAAAAATTAGAGTAATAGATGCAAAGTGCTCCTTGGATGTTACACCAATGGTCTTCATCGAAATATTTTGTTTAGCGATGAGAAAATGTTTACAATTGAAGAAAAATGTAATCACTAAAATAATTGTGTATACGCACACAGCTCTAAACAAGACAAAAAGTCATTGGAAGAATGGAAAAAGTCATTACCCTTCCTCAGGGATGGTTTAGTGGAGAGGTTGCTTTGATGGCACCACAAAGCTCCATTTTGAAAAAGGAGTTAAAACAGCCGCTAAAAACTATCAGAACGATATTTTGGAACCTGTTGTCGAGCCTCTAAATGATACTCTGTTCGCTGGAAGTAATTGGGTTTTCCAGCAAGATTCCGCTCCAGCTCACAAGGCCAGGTCAACACAGCAGTGGCTGCAGAAGAACATTCGAGAATTCAGCTCTGCCTCAGATTGGCCCTCAGGAAACCTGAACTCACTAGATTATCGGCTTTGGCGCGAACTGGAGAGGATGGCATGCCATAGAACACACCCTAACTTGGAAAGCCTCAAGCAATCTCTGGTCAGAGCAGTTAAGTGCTTTGCTCAAGAAATGCTGCGTGCTGCTAATGATGACTGGTCACGGAGATTAAATGCCTGTGTCAAAAGGGGGACATTTTGAGTAATTTATTTTTTGTTTTCCTCTCTATAGATATACATTTTACTTTCTAATAAAGTGTATGTAGAAATAAATTATTTTTTCTGTTGAAATCTGTATATATTTTCTTGTAACAATATTTATGACAGGACTAGATATACGTTCTGAAATACTTTTTAAGGCTAAAAAGCATTCAGTTCAATATAATTAATGTATTGAAAAATATGTAACTTAAATGAAGCAATACCTGCCATCTCACCTGTAGACATATGGTCCAACTTGGGTTACTTTTGGAGTTTCGCCTTGAAGTACTCCCTCCGGATTATCCAAGTTGAAGAAATATACATTTAACATCACAGGAATAGGAGTATTAACAAACCTATCCCATGCTTCTGTTCCGTTTTTTAGTTCCAATGTCTGAAATGAATACATTTTTTATTGGAAAAAATTAATTAATTTTATTGGCCATTTCAAAATTAGTTAAATAATTTTTCTCATGAGCTATCCTTTTAGAATTGTATTTTGCATTCATTGTTTAGTAAAATTTGTAATTATGTGACCCAATGAAAAATGTTTGAAATGTTGATTTCTCACTCGCTATTATTGACAAAATCCAGTGCTACTAACGTAGTAAATCGTACATTGTGAACCACAGGCGGATTTACGAGGTTAGGGGAGGAGGCTGAAGCCCTCCTCCCAAATGATAAAATATAATCATGTTTTATGGAAAAATATTAAAAAATGATCTCTTAAAGTAATTATTGATCGTGTAATTTCATTTAACAAGACTTGAAGAATCACTTAAACACCATTTCATAAAGGTAGTTAGCTTCTTTCTTTTTTTTCCAAAGTAATCATCATTATATATATGGAAAAAAAGGGAGGGGACACACATTTTGATTGGGTTTTAAATTTTTGAGGGGCCATCTTTTTGGAATGAAAAGTTTTAAAATATGTGACTAGGAGAAAACATGAAACAGACCACAAGTGTAATTTTTAAGAAGAGCTGAGCAATAAAATATCTTGGGATGGGCGGTTCGGTTCATGCGTCATCGATACTAAGGGAAAAACCCCTAGGGTTTTTGTGATATCGACAAAGTACTCATATTTCTTATCGGTATCGATACCGGTCCTTGATATCGATATTACCATCATCGAATGATACTATATCAAAATGACATTTTTAGCATGAATAACAAATATATCGTCGGTTTATTGCAAAATTGCATTTAATAACTTTTCATTAATAGTATATATATGATATATACTATGGTTTTGTGTCATTTAAGTCCACTTACTATGTTTTTTATCGATAGACTAATACATAACTCACAAAAACAAATACATTCAGTTCCATCGAAAATGTACTGTGACATTTTTGATTGGTACAAAATATATAGAATTAAATTAATATATCCTGGCTTGATCAAAGCCTGTACTGTAAGATAATAATAGTATTAATTTTTTTAAACTGGAAACAAAAATCCTCTGCTATATAAATACAAATACTCAACTTGCCCACTAAAGATACTTAATAAGTGATTATAAATGTTAGTTTATTGTTAGCTATATTTACATTCCCGTCATATATGACATATTAATGAATATCAATGTAAACATGTTTGATTAAACAAATATATTTTATCGTCAACTGTAGATTATCAATCCGAAAAAAATGTATATATGTAGTACGTTATTTTTTTTAATCGATAATCAATAAGATATTAACTCCTTATATTCTTGACAATGTTTTCTGATTTTTTAAAATTTAAGTGCTTTAATATTTTCACGAGTCATCATTTTTTTTTTTTTTTAATGTTTTATTCAATTAAACTGTTGTCATCAATTAAACCATATTTGGGTTTAGTAAAAGATAATGTTTTTATTAAACGATAAATTACTTTAGTAAAAAATTATGCTTTTATTAAACCATATAAAATTTTAATAAAAAATAGTGCACGATGTAAAAAATAATAATAACGAATAAATATCGTCGTTGTTGTTTTGTTTTTTGGCAAAAACTTATTTGGGTGAGATTTTGTAACCTTAAATTTAAATTTTAAAAAACATTGATGAATTTTACCTTCGTAACTATATTTGATATATAAAAGGATTTATGTCAGTTTAGCTCTGTTACTATGTTTCTTTATCGGCAAAAAAAGTCAAAATTCTTAAAAACGTTCTTAAAAGTTTAGCTGCATCAAAAATATACTTGGTGACTTTTTACAATAAACCGATGATATACGTATATTTTTTCTTACTCACACATATTTTAATAATAATTATACGATTTTATATTAATACAACTGAAGGCAGGAACGAAAATAATTTTTTTCCTAAATAGGAAAAATTATAAAAATAATAGTCCAAATATTGATAACCTTTAAAATGACACTAACATTTTTGGGAATTATATTCGCATAATACCTTATAATTGTTTTAAGCCCCTTTGTGAACAAAATTCAATAAGCTTTGGTAATTGTTGAATTTCTGAAAATTTATCAAAATGAAAATTGTAAATCCAGAATTAAATTTGACTGGTTGTCAGAATTTATTTTGTTTTTGTTTTAATACTTCTGAAAACCATGAATATATAGTATAATGTTTAAAAAATGAGATCAATAGCATTATAATTGAGTGGCAAAAGATTATAAAAACAACTACTTTTGCGTCATATAAATTAATGCGCACTTTTTAACAGAGTTTTCTAAAATTTCAGTTTATATCTCTTTGGAATCGATTAAAAGCAGACTGTGATACTTCAAAGCCATGTTTTATTTTATTTTAATATGTTTTAAAGTCATTATAGAAATTTCAAATTTTGGTCGTTGCCGCGAGTTTATCTTATTCATCCCACTATTTTACAAGTGTATTATTTTTTTTTTAAATATTAATTATAAAAACATTCATGTCAGAAGACAACGAGATCTTATACAGGGCTTATTATTGTCAAAAGAAATTTGAGGTAATATTATGGAACTCCTTAACATCATAATGGTAAGTAATTATGAGGTAACAATGTTGTTAGTACAATTGTCACCACGTGTTCATATTACAAAAATTCAATTGATTTTTTATCAACTCTTCAAAACGTTAAGATAAGTTCGAGTTGATATTTTTGTTTTGTTATAAAAATAATGACCGCACTGTACAACGGTTCAAAGGGTTATATTCTAACGATTTTCATTGGTGAATTCATATTCCTAAGTTAATTTTTTTTCTTGTGGCTTCATATCTAATTCAAGATGGCAGTGCTCATAATATAGAACCGCGTCCCACTGCCTTCAAAATTCAATTCAGAGAAACAAAGAAAAAAACACCTGGAGAAGTTAGTAACCATTTCAAGTGAAATACTGAGTATACGTTTTATAATTTCTTTAATTTTTTTTATCATAGATATGCTTTGTATTTTTGTAGAGCTCAGAAATACACCTCTAAAAGCAGTTCTATAGGATTCTTCAAGAATGCCAAACAATATTACTATTAGAGAAGTAATAAAAGCATAAAAAAAAAGGTCTGCCAAGGTCAGTGTAGCTTCCTCACCGTTATAATTGGCCACTGACATAAGGCTATTAAAAAGATAGGACGAAAATGTATAGCATTTGGATGAAATTATTACAGAAATTTTTAATTAGTGAGACGTGTCCAAAATATATTTATTTTAATTTTTGAATGAACTTTTCAAAAATAGTTATGAAATTAACTTTTGAAGAAGGTGGGGATAAGAAAATTATATAAAAAGTTAGACTTGAAAATGGGGAAAGTTGGCCAGAAACTTTGTCGAAATAAATAAAAATAATAATGAATTGGAGCATTGAGAGGATGTGAAAGGGATCAATAATGTCATATACATATAACGATAATATTTTTGAAAAAAAAAGAAAGAAAGAAATTAACTACCTATATGAAACGGTGTTTAACTGATTCTTGAAGTCCTGTTAAATGTAATTCACGAACAACAATACTTTAAGAGATAGTTTATCATATTTTTTCTGTATCATATTCCGCCTGTGCTTTTATGTACAAATATGCGTGAAATTCACACAATTTTGATATTTTAGGATAAAATCAAGACCACGACGAGCAGGTTGAACTTCAATAGAAATAAACACGAAATCTAAGTAACGGCAGTAAGTGTCATGCCAGTAACGTTTAAAATCGACCAACCAATATAGCATAAATTAACTTTTAAAATAAAACCTAAAATCGTATAATCTCATAAAAATACTGTGTTTCCCTCCACATCTTGCTCAATTCCTAGATTTACCTCTTAACTAGTCCCAACAAAATCCCAAAGTCAAAAATTGTGTTCCTTCTATTTCTTCTATATCTTCAATTTGAGCACTCATTGACTAGACTAATTTCACGCCCAACAAATTAATTTTACTCATTAGATAGATAATTGGAGGAAAGCAAATTTGAAATTGCTATAATACAGCATATATTAATATGCTATAATCCGAAATACAGGACTACTAGTCAATTCAATATTAGCGTCATTTAACATTAAAGCCACTTACAAAAAAGGACAGCGTCTTTATTTTTTTTAATCTAAACACAAAGTGGGCTCCTTGTTATCCTATAATTATAATAATGTTTAGATAAACAGGTTTCTTAGGTAAAAAAAGCTTTTTATCACAAATAAAATAGAGTTTCAAATAAATTTTCTTATACATAGAGTTTGAAATCGATAATTATTTTTTTCCACAAAACCATGTAATTATTATTATTTTTGATTTAAAAATCATGCCAGCTTTATAAATAAAAATTTAAATCGATGTTTATTGTTTTGAATAAAAATAATGATCACTGATTAAGTTATGCGATGTTTCTTAAACTCTAAAAATAATGATTAAATAAAAATTAATAAAAACATTTTGATCAAAAATAAAAATCATCTTTTATACGCAAATTAAATAAAATATTAATATGTATTTATACCTCATTAATAAATAAACCTGTACCACTACAACCAATGAAGGGTCATGGGTTTAGTACTACTCAGGAAAAGCATTGTTTCTAGGTCAACGGTTGTGGAATGTGATCTGACCGAGATCACGCTCAACCGCCAGGATTTTCCCCTTAATCAATGATTTAATTAAGGGTACCCTTATAGAGGTTGGGTGTGCCCCAGGAGGATCTCTTGACCCAGGGTCGCCCCATGGCCAATGAAACAGAATAAATAATTTTTCTGCCATGACCCGAGATTTGAACCTGAGACCTTTAGCATTGCAAGCTCAGTTTTCATTTGAATGGTATTAATGATTTGTTAACTATAAGCTTTAGGCTGTAGCTCGGTTAAAAATTCACTTCAAAAATTTTATAATAGCCCAAAATTGCCAGAAAATAATTTATATTCAAGTAGAGTAAGTGAAAGTTGATATCGTATGGCGATGGCTATTGACTGAACTAATTTCAGGCATCATTTTAACTTTTTTATTAAAACCAATTTTGCTCATTAAGTGTTTGGAGAAAGGCAAATTTGAAATTGACAGTTAATAAACACAATGTGCGGTTTATTATTACCACTCCTTTTTTATAATTATAACAATATTTAAGTAAGAAAATATTTTTGTCTCAAATGAAACGGAATTTCTAAGAAATTCTCATTACACATCTTCGGCACTAAACATTAAAAAATATTCTTCCCTCCGCGTCTCTCCTCGTTTTCCAGCAAAGTAACATCTATTCAATTTTATTGTCTGCTATATTTCATAGCTCCTCTTTGTTTTCTATCAAGCCTCGGATATAAATGTATCGATTTAAATTTTATAAAAAACTAGCGTTCTTAAGAGCACACGATAAAAGTGAAAACATCAGGGCGGTATTAATAATACTAAACATAATTTTTTTTTGTTCTATATGAACAAAGTAATAACGTTTAGAATATATACAAATATAATTGTGTATAAACTATTTTTTGCTTCATATTCACAAAGTAACGGTATATACATAAATCAATATATAAAAGCTTCGTCAATGTTTGTACCATGTTTTGTTGTGCTTTATTATATTATATATATATAATGCTAATTTTTTTAAAAATCAACTAAAAATCATCTGTTTTCATTTCGACTCTAACTCGGTGTTACTTCAAAATAAAAGTTAAGCTCATTGCAAAGAGGAAGAAATGGTGATAATTTTCCTCGCTTACACTTAGTCAGTGATACAGACTCCTTTTCATCAATTTATTAACATCCGCCATAAACTATGGAAATATCTTCATCTCATCATAACCTAAAAATATTTTATTTACGAAAATTTTCGGAATTTGGGCGTTTTCAATCTGGAAGTCAGCAAACTTTGTCTATTTCATTAGGCACTAAAAACTAGTAAATACCCATTTGCTTTCCACTTGGATCGTAAGATAATTTAAACATAAAATCGATAAAAAAAGGTGGCCTACAAAAATATTTATTTACTCAAAACGGCTCAATATTTTTAAAGACCACCTTTTTTCTCGACTTTGTGTTCAAATTATCTTACGATTCAAGTGGAAAACAAATGGGTATTTACGAGTTTTTATTACCTTATTAAATAGACAAAATTTGCTGATCGCTAGATTGAAAATACACCCATTCCAAGAGTTTTCGTAAATAAAGTAATTGTATGTTACGATGAGATGAAGCTATTTACGAAGTTTCAGGCGGATGTTAACAATTTGATAACAATGGGTCTGTACCACTGACTAAATAAACAAGTGCGAATTTTAGTTTTGAGATATTTTAATGCCAATGCAAAAATTGTCGACTTGAGCCGGTCTACTTCGATATCCATAAAATATAGTAAATCCACATAAAATCTATAAAAAAGGTGGCCTACAAAAATATTGGGCCGTTTGGCCTTTATAGCCTCGTTGTTTTGACAATTTAGGGGTCTAGGTCACTCAAGACGGCTCAATATTTTTTTCTCGACTTTGTGCTCAAATTATCTTACGATCCAAGTAGAAAACAAATAAATATTTTCGAGTTTTTAGTACCTAATTAAATAGAGAAAATTTGCTGATCTTCAGACTGAAAACACCCCAAATTCAAGAGTTTTTGTAAATAAAGTATGTTACGATGAGTTGAAGCTATTTACGAAGTTTCAGACGGATGTTAATAATTTGATAACGAGGAGTTGGTACCACGGGCGGATCTACGGGAGGGGGGGGCTTTCGGACTGAAGCCCACCTCTCCCCCTTCCCCCACAAAATGGGAAAATATAACAATGTTTTTTTCGAAAAAAATATAAAAAAAATATCTCTCAAAGTATTATTTTTCGTATAAATACATTTAAAAGGGCTTTAGGAATAACTTAAACACCATTTCATACAGGTAGTTATTTTATTTATTTTTTTCCAAAGTAATTATCGTTATTTTTATGTCAAAAAAAACCTTTCGGGCTGAAGCCCCCCCCCCCCAAAATTAAATCCTGGATCCGCTAGTGGTCTGTACCACTGACTAAATATACAGGAACGAATTTTAGTTTTGAGATACTTTAATGCAAATGCAAAAATTGTCGACTTGATCCGACTTTACCCGAATGTGCATTACACAGTCGAACGTGACGGCTCGGTCTAATTCGATATCCACAAAATATCGAGTAGGCCTATAGAAGTTTTTACTTTAATAATTTATATCTTATATTATATATGGCTCACCTTGGTGACTTGATACCGGATGGCTATGGGGAGGATGAAGTAGTGGAATATCAAGGTGGCTATGGCCAGGAGGAGACCAACGAGGCCGAAGATGGACCAGTTGACCCACTTCCTCATCTCGGCTGGCTCATACTGCTATGCCTCTGCTATCACCTGCTACCTATCCACTCTATCTTATCTCTTTAACACCTGAGTTTTTTTTATTCAATCGAGAGATTAACAAATATCGAGAAGCCAGTAGCATTCAATTAGATCTGTTTGCTCTTCTGTATTTACTCTTTTAATCATAACCTTAGATGGATCGATGCATTTGTTAAATTGAAATATAAATTTTGGTTTCCTTCGAACTTCATTTGTGATTCTTATCGATTAGATATGTGGTAGTTCTTTAACACTTTATTGCCTTATAAATTTAAGACCTGACACAAGGAGCACATCACAGAACTTTCACTTACCACTTAGTAGAAATATACACTGACAGCAAAAAATTCCAGCCTTTTGTTACCCATTAAGGAACCACGTTAGAAAGGTTGGCTCTGGGAAAAATTACAGGCTGCATATCTTTCGTTTCTTCTTCTCCACTCCCTTTCACGCCCGTCTGGAGATCGAAGAGCGAATCTTGACTCATCTGTAAAAAGTACAGCACTCCATTCGTCCATAGTCCAATGGCTGTGTTCTCGAGCAAAAGCCAACCGTGTTACTCTGTGAGTTCTGGTCAACTCTGGTCCTCTTACTGGAAGAAAAGCCATTAATCCATAATCATTTAATCTTCTCCGAGCGGTACGTTCAGAAATTTGCACTCCTTGAACTTCTTCGAGCTGATGAATAGCTTGAACAACGGTAAAGTGCCGGTTTCGTAAAATTCTCAAAGTCAAAAACCGGTCATCCCGTGGTTCTGTTACCCTAGGCCGTCCAGAACCGGGCCTTCTATTGTAAGAACCAGTTTTCCGAAAACGCCTGACGGGGTCTCTTAAAGTTTCATATGAAACTCCGATCGCATTAGCTGCATACCTCATGGAACGTCCATCATCAATAAGTGCCACACCACGCGCAGCATCCTCAGCACTAAGAGGCATTTTTAAACTTCATATTGAAAAAATTAAAAGCTGGACACTAAGAAATGTGCTGCAAGAAACGGCACTGAACTAATGATACTGATAGAAAGTAAACATTGGAATCTAGAATCAACTCATTGAATTAAAGATTAAGGGTTATTGTCCTCTATGTTAACATTCCTAATTGAAAAAAACAACAAAAAGATTACCTATTTATTCATTAAAAACAATAGACCAATCCAAAGCAGAAATATTTTTAGATGAAAACATGAAAAAATCAAGTGGGTGAAATTTTTTGCCTGTCAGTGTATATGTTTACACATAGAGGAGTGAAAGTAAAACTTAGATATGGATTAAACACAATAAATCGTCGGTTAAATATGGTGTAGGTCATAGGCGGATTTACGGGTGGAGTGGGGCTTTCGGGCTGAAGTCCCTCTCCAAATGATAAAATTTAACCATGTTTTATAGTGAAACATATTAAAAAATTATGTCTTAAAGTATAGGGTGACGACGCCAAAAGGAGCCACTCTGAGAAAATACTTCCCTACCGTTAGTTCAAGATTAGAACAGACGTGGGTTCTTCCGGACTACTGGGTCTCACAGTTCCTCTCGGGGAATGGGGATTTCCGAGCAAAGCTCGTTGAATATGGTAAGAACGTTGATCCCCTATGCCCAAGTTGCAGAGTACCGGACACCGCCGAGCATATCGTGCTAGTCTGTAGCGCCTTTGAAACACTGAGGGCCAAGTTGTTGAGGGAGACGAGACTTTACATTCTAGCAGAGAGCAATCTCCCTCAACTAATGACTAAAGTGAACTACCCGTACTACAAGGCCTTCGTATACGTGTGGAAGGAACTCGTTGGTCCAAACCACATTACACTGGAAAGAAGAGATGGACCTGCATCTGGAAGGCCGCCAGAGAGGGTGGAAGACGTCAGCTGAAAAGAAGAGCAGGCTGTGTGCACAGCTGGAAATATGTAATTGGTCTGAATGCAGCAGTGAGTTGCAACGCATGCGCTGCTACTCAATGTTGCATAACACCCGTATTGCCAACCGGCAGGGCAGGGTTTAAATAAATGTCTTAAAGTATTATTGTTCGTCTAATTACATTTAATAGGACTTCAAGAATAATTTAAACACCATTTCATATAGGTACTTAGTATCTTTCTTGTTTTAGCTTTAGAGTTGAACTCTCCCCCCGCCCCCTCAAAATTAAACCCTGGATCCGCTAGTGGTATAGGTTAACTTTCAAATATGTTTTTGTGAATTCCAACCTTATTTATACAAACTGAAAGTTAATGAAAATAACATTGATCCTATTATTTGTCGTATATATTTACACAAAGTCCATAATTATCTTATTCGTGTTAGTAATGAAATGTATACAAAAACACTCGAATTTGATTGCAACTTTGTATCAAAATTTCAAAGCAATTGGTGAAGAACTTGTTTTGAGCAAACTAACATTTATATTTGTATTGAGAGCTACTAAACAAAAAAAGAAATAATTAAATCGATTGGGAAGCAGGTGAAAAAAGTTTGAACTCCTTTATCTATGTTTAAATATAATGATTATTTATTTAGTATAATAAATAATTAAGTGCCACGATTTTTCTTTTTTATTTTGGCAAGATTCCCACTGATAAAGGAGGCCTCTATATTTATTTATATTGCATTGTGCATATTTTTTAAGAACTGGTATCTATAATCAATTTCAAGCCGTAATTTAAATAATTACATATTAAAGAAGACCAATAGTTGCATTTAAAAAATCGCACTTGTATATTTAAAGTAGTACCGGATCCCACTCGTTCCTGTCAGACAAGCTTGAGCGCGAGTTCGGGTGTCTTCGGTAGTTCTCGGACCCACCTTACGAACCCTTATTTCTCCTTTAGTAAATTTAAATTCTTGTATAGTTTATATTTAATAATTTTGGTTACTTTTTACAAAGTGAAATGTTTAATTATTTCAAATAAACCAAATCAAAGGTACTTAAAAAGAAGAATTTTGAAAACTCAGCATTTAAGCTACGCCATTATATTTCAAATAGGATAACATCCGCTTAATACTCAAGGTCATTTAATTTCACATAAGTGTAATGAATTTAATTAAAATCATTGCAGCCATTTTTGAGAATGTCGGAAAAATGTGAAAAACTGATCACATAAAGTGCCACTTCTGATTAGTCGCTTTTAGCGAAAAAGTTTATATAAAATTTTGGTTTGTTTCGGCTAATCGTTTTCGAGCTAGCAATGGACTTCAAAATACATATTTCGATTGAAATCTCGGATTCAAAATTTTCATGATCCACATACTTTACTTATTATATATTTTATATACAGTAAGTGGACGTAATTATCATTAGTTTGGAAGAAGACCATGAGTCAAAAATTAAAGCATTTTCAAATTTTACATTACCATGACCACCAAGTTCATTATTTCTTATGAGTAAGAGTCTCACAAAAAAAATATTCTTAGTTTGAACCGTAGATTAGTTGCCTCAATTTTGAACAAATGAAACGTTCATCAATATTTTGGACTGAAATTTTCATTGCCAGCTGGTCTACAGAAGCCACTTGGTAGATTTTTTTTTCGAGAGTTTTATCTCAAGTGCCCAGTCATCGAAGTAAATTTGTCTGATAAAGTATGTAAACGTTTATACTGAGAAAGATATCTGACCTAAGGATTACTGCATATTTAATTCCACAGAGTCTTTCAAGACAAGGTTCATGGTCTTGAGTAGGACGTCGATCTCCTATGCCCTAGTTGTAGCGTCCCAGGAATTGCCGAGCACTTGGCCAAGAGCTGCACCGCCAATGAGTCATTAAGCGCCAAATAGCTCAGGGAAACCTTTTGTTCAACAGGTTGTTCACTGAAGGAAACTTCAAAGATTTTATGAACGGGTGGAAGAGAAGAATTGGCCACAAACACTTCTTTTCGCAAGGAGAGGGCTTCTTCCTAGAAGGTCACCGCAATAAAGAGGAGGAATAGAAGAAATACGAATCACGTGAATGTTTATCCTGTGTACTCAGCTTATTGCCAAAATGTTATTGCAGGATTGTGATGTTATGCTGGCTGTAGGTGTGCCCATCCCCCCCCCCAAGATCGATGACGCAAGAACCTACCCCCTCCCAAGATATTTTACTATTCATCTTTTCTTAAAAACAAAGCAAGCTAAGGTAGAATTAGAAAAATCGTAGATCATATGCGATTACACTTGCTGCTTTCCGTTGCATGTTTCCCCCTTGTCTCTTTGTCCGGAAAATCATAACACCGTCGAAATTTGCCACCCTCAAAAATTAAAAAACCCGTCAAGATATGCCCCTCTCAAACATTTTGATGACGCAATTTGTGCCTTGGAACTTCCTTCTGGTCACCCCTCAGACTGTAAAGACCTGTATTTCCTTTAAGGTAGGGAACGTTTTTAATAAAATAAGCCCGCTAGCATGGATTCGAACCAATGTCGCTAAACTCGAGGCTGCTAAGGCTATGATGATTTAACACTCTTGGTCGTCACGGCTACAATAGTCGTGAGAACTGTCGTCGGATAAATGAGGCTTATGAAATACATCTGTAATTTTGTTTTCTTCCTTCTCTCTCCAGATAACACTAAAAATATAAAACTAAAGTTCTTCTTCTTGGTCTTTCCTCTTCTAACGCAGCGCAATGTGAGGTACCTTTTGATTGAGGCTGATCTCTAATTCGCGGTCGTACACCAGCAGTTTACTCTTCTTCCATCCAGATCTCTTTTCTAAAGTTACCAAAATAAATTTCCGTTTGCTTTTGATTCATCACCAGTAATGGGACTTGATAATTGTTTTCAATTTGTTGTAGAATTTACAATTATAAAATAATAGATTCTTCATCTTGTAGGATTGTTCATATCTTTTCCACATGTCTAGCAGTTTTTTACATTTCATATTTATTTTATTTAAAAAGCGTCCTCTAAATAGGGGCATTATCCCCTTAATTTCATAAATGGTTGAATTTTATCAAAAATGTTGGAGCGTTTAAGGAACTGTAGAAGATTATCAATTGTATGTGCGCTATCCTGCAAAAAAGTATGGAAATCTTTTGACAAAGTAAAAAAAATGTCGTATGTATGTTCTACAAAAAAGTGAAACAATTGAAATAAAAATAAAGTAATTATAAGCAATTGCCTCGGGCGCCGACCTGAAGAGAGACGCCCGCCCCATGTTCGAAATAAAAAAGAGCTTATTAATAACAAGGAATAATTTCATAAAACAAATGAATTAGATACATTTGTTGATCTTTAGGGACGCTTGACAGTTGTTAGAAATTAACCAAAAATACAAAATTTATTAAAATATTTAATTTTATAATAGAGAAATATTTAATGAAATACAATTCAAATATTACATAATTTAAAATAGTTTAAAGAATAAATGTAGTATTTTGGAGGCGATGACGTCATTGCCCAAGGGGCGTCAAATGTTTAAGGCCGTACTGATTATATAGTAATCTTACAAAACTTGCAAGTCACCAACTAAATGTTTCTAATTATGATATTTACGTTTTTATAAAAATATTAACAAATGACATTTTTTTTTTTACACAACTTAAGTGAATCTCAACTTATTTCATAATAAAACTTAATTTAACTTGAACTTTAAGTGTTAATAATAGCGTTTTATAAGTATCGATTACATCAACGGATATTAGTGTTGGTTGTGTGTATAATTACAGAAAAATTCAGATCTTCCGGAAAGCCAAGATCGAACGAATTTTTTTGAATTAATTACCATTCAATTTTATCTTATATAGTCGCATTACAAAAGTAACAATATATGATTTAATGTTTTTTGAAAAATAACATTGTGCAATATAATATGTTCGGGTTGAAATTTAGTTTACATGCATTTTATAAATTATCATTTAAAACAACATTGGTAACCTATCAAGCGATTGTTAATTTTGTTGTAACCTTCCTCATTCTTCAAATAAGTTTGTCTTAAATTCTATGTTGCAGTGCTAGTAGTAGCAATAGTATTTCAAACTTTCATACTTCTAATGAACTTCAAGAGGAATAAAGTTCCCAAATACCTTCAGAAGTTTTACAAATTAAAAAAATGACAGGTACATTATTATTAAACAAACTTTTAAAGTGCATTTTTCATTGTCTCCTTGTATATATTATAAATAATTTCAACATAAGCAAATCATTTTAAATATATACTCCTGATAATATTTTACTATTCAATAGTTGTTCAATAGTCTCGGTTCATAGGGCTAACCAATTGGACTCCATTAATCTATATCATTTTTCTTGCTTGATGGGTGCAACGTTAAAACTTCTAACATTAATACAGCAATGCTTTAAGCTACTGCTATTAAGAAATCAATGATAATCTCTCAAGTTATTTATTTATCATTTAATGAATTGCTAAGAGAAAAAGTGTCATTAATAGTAGTGCAGTATAGTTTAAAACAATGGACGACGTTTATGACAGATTTATATGTAATAAATGGTTAGATAAAATATGTCTGCTGTGTATCGACTTATTAAAAACATTGGATAAAGTTATAGAAGTGTCATGTTGGATTTGACAGATGTGCCAAGATCACATGATCACAGTTCCTGGAAAGCTGAAACAAGATCTGTTTAGTGACAAATTGGGTTAGTTTGGATTTCATAATAAAAAAACTGAACCAATTAGGCTCAATGGCTTTTATAGATATAAAAGACTTATAGGTATAAATACAACTAATACAATAATTTAATTTTTAAATAACTGAATTTATTAAAATAATATTTTAAAAAACAGTTATATTCATAGGGATATGTTTAAACAATCTAATAGTGGTAAGGCAAACCCAGACAAATAATAAAATATAAATTGAAATCTTTATAACAGTAAATACAAAATCTACTTTGTAGGTAAATAGGTTTGTAAAAAAAATTATTTTTATATACATGGTTTTAAACGGAAATACACATTTTAAGGAGTAATGTACAATTTAATGTAATTTCAACTATATCTTATCCTCATCCAATTAGTCTAATAAAGTTTAAATTCCAAAATTTATAAAATTGTTTCTATATTTAAGATAATGGTTTGTAAAGTGGTGCTGTTATAAGAGTGCCCGTGGCTCATCCAGCAATGTTAGATGAAAGTCCTGTTTAAGATCTATAATGTAGTTTGAAGTATAGGCTATAAGTAAATATTATATTATCATAGTCTGTGTTTATTGACCAGAGATTTTTATAATTAATTTTTCCCTTGGTGCACTTAAAGTAAATAATGCACAGTAATTTTTGTAATTTATAATCATAATTGTTAGTTTATATTTATATTTAAGGAAATATTCTAGGTTTATTAATTTATTTTAAATTAATTTTTACTTAAAATAGAGTGATAAATGAAAGTTCTGTGATGTGCATATAAAATTTCTTTAGCTTATCATTAATTCATCTCCTCATTTAAAAACCCAATTATTTTCATCTTACAATTGTTTATTAGTAACATTATCACATCTCATATTTTTATTTTTCAGAAACCAAGACATTTGCCCAGAAGCGTCTGATGAAGATGATTGAATCATACAAACGTAAGTTTTGTTACCTTTTATATATAAATATTAGCAAACATAAATAACAAATACGTATAAATGAAAATTTTACAAAATAACCTGAGAATCAATTATTTGATAATAAAATTCTGAATTGTTTTTCTTTGTTGATTTTTGGCTCATATTGTTGTATTGCCTCTAGACTGCAATTTTCTTCGTGTAGATAAATATAGTTGCCATTGATATGATAAATAAAAAAATGCAACCACAAAAGAGATATGATATATTAAGAGATAGGAATGAAATAAAATCATATAAATATGTTAAAAACATAAATTTTATGAATAAAAAAGAAAATAAGTGAGAAATACTGACACAGACTTATTTAAATTAAATATAAATACAGTAGTATATAAATAATATAAACATACAATTAAATAATTTTTAATATCAAGTAACTTTCTCATTGATATAGTTTTATAGAGTTTCATCAAATTAACTTCTTCTAAAGTACCTTTGATATGGTTTATTTGAAATAATTAAGAAATTATTTGAATTTCTTGGTTGATGTAAACAGTTTACAGGCTGGAAAAGCATTTGTGATTAGAATTTTTCCAATTATTACCTAATATTTAATTTATATATCTTTTTGAGTTTTTCTCATTTATATCCCTTATACAATTTTATTCTTTACACAAAGGTGTAAACAGATCTCGTAGTTTAGGGTCCGTCACATCTGGAATTAGGAATGAAAATAACAATGTTCTGACCGATCTGGTAGACATATTAAATTAGTTTAAGAACCACCTTGACAATATTTTAAATATGGGAAATTGTGATCTGTTTTCCCCTTCTGAGTCCCTGAGTGTTGAACCATTAATAAAAGAACCAAAAGAGGAAGTTGAAGTAGCTATCGGAAAATTTAAATCTTATATAAAGCAGCAGGAACCGATAATATTCCTAGTGAACTAATTAAGGTATGCGGGGAAGCTGAGAGTTTCTAAAATACATTTGTTGGTTAAAAAGATCTGGGTGAATGAGAAATTACCTGAAGAATAGAAAGAATCTGTCCTTATTACGATTACCAAAAAGGGTCCCAGGACAGATTGTAATAACTATCGAGAAATTTCACTGCTTTCGGTATATTATAAAATATTCACTTTCATCTTTACTAGTCGAATCATGGAATACTCTGAGGAAATTATTGGAGACTACGGATGCAGATTTAGATGGAACCGTTTTACTATTAATCAAATATTTTCTTTACGCCAAATAGTGAAGAAAAAATTAGAGTAAAATAGTGTTGTTCACCAGCTGTATGTAGATTTCAAAGGGGCTCACGATTCTATTGACTGCCAGAAACTGTATTATATTCTGATTGAGCTTGGGATACCAAAAAAATTTAATAAATCTAGTCAGTATCTACTTGACAGAAACACTCAATAAAGTTAGAATCGGTAATAATTTATCTGAAAAGTTTGAGGTTTGTTCTGGTTTAAAACAAGGTGATTCCCTTTTGCCTGCTCTATTCCATTTGCCATTAGGGAGGTAATGCATATCGAAAAAAGGTTGGATCTGGATGGGACAACACCCATGCTTGGCTATGCGGATGATCTGGTCCTCTTAAGCGAAGACACGGAAACTTTAAAACTAAATAAGACAACGTTAATGAAAGTTGGTAAAGAACTAGGGCTCAAATTAAATACAGATAAGACAAAATATATGGTTAGCTGCAAAAATGGTGCTATTGCCAGTGTAATCAATACAAAAGGTAATATGTTTGAACATGTAGAGAAGTTTAGGTATCTAGGGTCTACGATAATTAGAAATTGAAGAGGAGATCAAGGTTAAGCTGGAAGTGAGAAATGCTTGTTATTTTTCTGTGACAAAACTACTTAGCTCAAGCCTCTTGTCCCTGAACTTAAAAACTACAATCTATAAAACCATTATCTTACCTACAGTTCTTTATGGCTGCAAAATGTGGTGGCTTATGTTAAAAGATGATTAACGTCTTAAGATTTTTGAAAATAAAGTATTGCGTAGAATATTCAGACTGAAGAAGGATAAGTTAACCAAAGAGTTCAGATGGTTACACAACGCCAAATTGCGTCGACTGTTTCTGGTTCACTATATTTGAGGAGATTACATGGTGGTGAATCAAATGGGCCTGTAAAATTGTTTGGTTAAGTAACGAAAGAATTCCTAAAAGGTTAATATTTGCTGTACCGAATGGTAAACATCCAAGGGGTAGACCGAAGCAAGGATGAGAAGATTGCATTAAGGTTGATTTGAAAGGACTGGGTTTGGAACGCAAAGGGTGGAGGGAGGTGTGTAAATAAGCGATTGGTAGTATCAGCATCGAACCTTTGGGTTGGCTAAGCCTTTCATTATTGTTATTATTATTATCATATACAACTTTATATTCCTTATTATCCTGTTTTTTTAGTGACCTTAATACTCAGTATCCTTCTAAATTTAACTAGTACCTGGCAACAGACTTATCCTGCTGTATTTTTGATACATGTTTACCCGGTTCCCAGTTTTCACAAGTAGTACCTGGTTAATGTTATCCAGGTAAATCTTTCGGGGAAGAAATAATTTTAATTTTACTGCTTGTAATCTTGCTTCTTTTTTTTTACCCCCAACATTGCTATTTCTGACCTATAGAGGCGGTTATTTATTCTAAAGGTACTACTAAACCTATTCTAATCAGAGTAGAATAGTTGCGATTCATTATGCGAGTCTGCCAAAAATCATTATGTGCTGCTAAATTTGAGAATCTTAAAACAGGTAACACTTCAACACCCTAAGCCATCATGACCCTCTGCTACTTGTGATCATGGATTTTTAACAAAGTAAATTGATGTGGCTCAACTTGAATTTGTTTTGAAGTATTTTCTCTGGATAAAATTACTCTCATGACAAAACTTTCTTGAATGTTGTAATTTTAGAGTATTATTATATGTACTCCCAAATTCAACAACACGTGTCTCCTTTAAATTTGTAATTATTATGTTTTCATTATCTGTGTTTTTTCTGTTGACTAACCTCATTGATTATCTAAATTTTTGAATCTCGGAAATAGCAGTGCTTATCTACTGAGAGGTATATTTGACTTGCGGCATGTGTTATTTCTCTATTTATTTATTAAGCGTATAAATAGTTTCATATTCCTGATGCTATTTATACTAATTTTACTTGGATTCGGATTTTTTAAAATTAATGAGAGTTGTTTTTGATACCTTCAATTCTAAATTTATTTTACCTCTTTTTACCATTCATCTTGTCAAAAAATATTGAAATAATCATTAGTATAGTAAATCATTAACCTAACTTTTACATTTAAATCTTTGACAGATTGACTAATGAATTTGTTTTGACTTCACTGATAAAGAGGAAACTTGGAACTATTATTAAAGGTTATAAGTGCATTTATCACCTTTATCGTCAACTTGACCATTCATTTATTAATTTTCAAATAATATATTTGAAAGAACTAAATCAAAAATTTGAATTAATTATTTGTTGTAAGTTATTTGAATTAGGATTAAACATGTAATTTTATATACTTTATATTAATGTTTGAATATATCTGCAGAGGCTAAAAAACATAAAAATGCCAACTCGACTCCATCTTTAAAAGGCCAACAACAATCTGGATACGGTAAATATTATTAACAAATTATTTTATTTTAAACAAGAAATCGTTAATCTATGATATATTATCCATTCTGCTTTTGATATATAAAAAAAAAATTCTGTAATTATTTCTTCCGTTAACGCATGATTTTAATTTTTAAATGATTTTGTATTATTAGAAAGGATATAGAATGTGAATTTCTGGAAAATGTATTTTTTAAGATATTGTGGCTCACTGTTCAAGCACAAAAGGTCCTTCTGAACTTCCATGGAAGTCTTTCCATCATCCTGTCAAAGAAGTTAATTCGGTTAAATTTTCTTGAAGACCCTTGACTGTTGAATTGTGTAACTAGTATGTTTTAGAAGATATCAGGAGTGGCATGTTTATGGAGAATAACAAGATTCACCAAAAAAGTCTATAACCTTTAAAAAAATTGATGAACTTTAATCAGGTTATTCAGGCATTCATGAATTATAGAGTAGAAAAAAGAATATAAGCTATTTTAAACTTCAGGAATCTTCATTCAATATTCAGGATCCCTTTTGTTTTAATATTATACATTTACATTATACATACATACATCATACATTACTATTATATTATACATTATATATAATTATAATATTATACATAATATATTTAGGAGCTGGGGTAGCCGTGCGGGATAAGGTGCTTAAGCCACACTGTCCGAGATTCCCCTCCCACCCACCCTCCCCCGGTATGTGAGACCTGTCAGTCTACTGGAGGCAACTCACACAGACCGGGCGTAGGACTGATGGCCCTACCCCCTTGTACTTAAATCGAGAATTAGGATGTGTAAAAAAACATTATAATTTGTCTCTCAATGGAACGTAATTCACTCATTATGTGTTTAGTTTTTACTTTTCTACGAACAAGAACAAAGGATTTTACAATTTATTGTATATTATTGTTTTAATAATTTATTTATTATTTAAAATTACTTTTCAGATGCAAATAAAAAGACCTCATCTAAACGCGATACAAATGCAAGAGCAGTATTTGCTCCTGGAAGAGGTAATTTCAGTTTAGTTTTATTAAATTAGAATATCATAAACACATTAATACTAATTTTAATGTTCATAAATCAATATAATGTTTTTTTGAATAATTGTAAACATTTTTTTTTTCTATAAAATATTTATTTGCGCCTGTTAACTTATTGTTGACAATCAGCAAATGTGATGACGATACATGATATAATGACATGACAGGCATGGGGTTGTAAAAATGAAATGAAAGATTACAGTTTTTTTTTTCGTAATTCATTAGCATTTTAAATATTTTCCATTAATAAAAAGTTTTATTTTTTTACAATTAAATCTGTGAATAAATAAGACTCCTGTGCAATTAAGAACTGAGTTTATCACTTCATTATGAATTTTGAATCACTTATGTTCGTATATTAAATAGAATTTGGAATCGTAGACTATGAACCAGGTAAATATAATTAAAGCAATAGTATTCTGACTTTTGAGATGGGCACAAACATTGTTAGAAAAATCAATAAAAAGGTGTTGTGTTTTCAACTGAATACATTTGTTAGGTGTAATTTCTAATGTTCAATAATTTGTAATATAGTATGTACTTTTACTGATACAGAAATTCTTATTCTTCTTAATTGATGTTATTCAATCTATGACCACACCTCTCAACCTAATTTGCCCTATGGTCAACAATACCTCCTACATTTATAAGAAAGTTGTTTGGTTTTTATCCTCTTTTTTTAAAACTAATGTAGAAGATTTCAATTATGTCTTTAGCCCTAAAATAGTCTTTAATCACAGTTGATAACAAAAATTCACTACTGTTTGTTCCCTCCTCCCAAAAGATCAGAAGCACATTACCCCTATGATCAGGACTAAGTCAATAAACAAGGTGAAATGTACCTTTGGTAAAATATTTACATAAACAGAGTGTTTCGAGTTTGCACGGAACTATTTTAGGTATGTGTTCACTAACACAAAATAAACAAAAAGTTCATATTAACATATATCTCAAACTCGTTTATTAAACTAGATATCAAAGGTTAAAGATTTATTATTTATTATTAATATTTATTTATTATTATTACAACATTTAGAGTAACTGTTCAAAGGGACCTCCATTTGTTGAATGCAACATTCAGCATGATGAAACCATGCTTCTCTGACTTTTCGTATAGCATCAGGATGGTGCCGATTTTTTAGCTCTTCTTGCGTACCACTGCCGCAGAATAAAACATAGACTTCATCCAGCCCCACACAAAATAATCTAATGGCATTAAATCCGGAGATCTTGGTGGCCATTTAACAGGTCCGTTTCGACCAAACCATCGGTCTCCATAAGTTGTATTTAAATAATCAGTGATACTATAAGAAAAGTGAGCTGGAGCACTGTCATGCATAAACCGCAGCCTTTGCCTAATGCCTAGCGGAATATCTTCTGGGAGTTTATGAAGATTATTTTGCAAAAAATGCAAGTAAGGTATACCTGGCAGCCTAGATAGCAAAAATAAGGGGCCGACGATGTTGTCGCTTAGAAGATCACACCAGACATTTAAAGATAACGTATGTTGGTAATGTCCAACAGCAGTTGTATAAGGATTTTCTTCAGCCTAAGTTTGGGTATTTCGAAAATTAAGAATCTTGTAAAGCAAGATTCATCAGTAACCCAAATGCAGTTCAGGAAGTTAAGATCTCGTGTGCATTGTGGAATTAATCACTGGAAGAAATTTCTGCGCTTGTTATAATCTTGTTGTAACAAATCTTGCCTACTCAATACGTGAAATGGATACAATTGTTCACGTAAAGTTCGCCATACACTGGTAGAGGAAACATCGAAACGATGTGAGAATCTTCTAGTACTAGTAGTAGGAGATAACTGAACAGCATCGAGTATTTCTTCTTCAACGTTTGCAGTTCGTCAAAATCTTTGTCGACCTGTATTTACTCGTATAGGTTTTAGCGTGCCATTGTCCCTAAGGTCTTTGAATGGCCTCAAACGTTTTGCGATTTGGTATTCTTCGGTTAGGAAATTTTTCACAATATCATCGAACAGCAGCAGCACCGTTTCTATTTACCTCGCCATAAGTTAAAAGCATATCTGTTGGTTCTGCAAAAGTGAATAAAGTTATGTTGTCTCCCATGATATCCATAAATTGAACTGTGTCACAGTATTGACTCACACTAAAACGCACAGAACTGGACAAACAGAAGAGCAACTACTGTCATTGCTTATCGTTCATTTGTTCATCAGGTGATTAAAACCTGTTATTTAGTATTAAACACCTCGAATTTTGTACAGTCAGTCTTGATGTAGTAAATAATTAATAAATCTTTAACCTTTGATATCTGTTTAATAAATGAGTTTGAGATATATGTTAATATGAACTTTTTTGTTTATTTTGTGTTAGTGTACTGTAACATAATAGACTGGACCCATGGTTCAGTAGAAACCCAAAAGGACTACCTGCTCTGTTTTACTAATGGTTCAAGGAAAGACTCAACTAGTTTAATGGGCGCAGGATTCTATATAGAGAACCTAAATATAGAACTAAGCAAACCTCTAGGTAAACATGCTACAGTATTTCAAGCAGAGGTGTTTACTATACTTTCTGCAGCCACCTGTCTAAAGGCAATAAAACGGCTGACATAAAACATAAAAGCCGATGTCCTTACAAGGAAAGGAGCGGAATTTCCTATTGTAGGCCCGGAACCTGCTGCAATAGGAATATCCAAAAAGCATCAGCGGAAAGAAGTCCTTGATTGGACTTGGAAGATAACAGGTAAAGAATGGAGGGAATGCACGGGGCTTAGACAGGCTAAGCAATTTATTAAAAGTCCCTCTCCCTCCAAAACAAAGTGGCTGCTGGGCCTAACTAGGAAAGAAATCCGACTCATCATCGGAGTACTAACAGGCCACTGCAGACTTAAAAGACATTTAAAGATCTGTGGGATAATGGATGATGGATTCTGTAATCTCTGCAGAAGTGCACCTGAAGCTCCTCTTCACTTCATAACGGAATGTGACTGATTTGCATCCAAGTATACATAGCTGCCTCCATAAAATGGTCCAATCTTTTGAACTTCATTAGAACCTTCAAGAACAAAAAGGTTTGAGACAGAATAGAGGTACAATAGACAACCACTGGTAGTATCATTTTTGGGATTGGCAAAAAGGACCAATAGGCCCACTTACTGGACTATGTCCTCCCACCAGTACCAGTACCAGCCTATGAAATTATGAAACACCCTGTGTGTATATATATATGTACAGGGTGTTTCGTAATTGCATATATATTTGTAATATATATATATATATATATATATATATATATATATATATAAAATACATTAATTCATTTATTATTTATGTTCTGACACAAAATAAACTAAATAAGGACAACAAAAATAAAACAGCAGAAACTTGTGAAGCTGATTTCTTAAAGAAGCTAAAATATTGTTTTTCCCATCTATTTAGCTAACTAATGTAGTATTTCACAAACATTTATATTTGTATCTATTTCATCATATATAATTGGCTATATACTTCATTCTCTTAACTTATTCTTTATTGTTGGAAAATAACAGTGGTTGAAACTTTTACGTAACTTTAAAAAAAATTCCATTTTAACAGTTCTTATATAACTTTTTAGGAGGAAAAAAATTGGCTTGAAGTTCCCAAATTTTATTTGTGCTGTTTTTTATATCAAAATATCTATGTAATATTCAATGTTCCTTTGATACTTTTTTTTTTTTTGTTACAGTTAAAGAAAAGAATAACAGCTCAGTTTTAAAAAGTTCGAATAAAAACCAATTTTCATCTGGTGGTGTCGGGTGTCAGAAAGTAGATTCATTTAAGAATGTAGCTCTTTCACAACAAAGCCTTGAAATTCGTAAACCACAAAATTTAAGTTTAGAAAGAAGCTTGAAAAAACCTACTTCCAATAAATGCTTTCTACATGCTGATACCAATCCTATACCACTTAGTAGTAAAGAAGCTGGTCTAAAAAGACAGAACAAGTTAAGTGGTAATAGAGAGAAACACCAAGAAACTTTTTGCCGGACTGCTGAAAAACGTCCATCTGATCATGAAAACTTGGGTAGAAAGAAAATTATGAAAAATGAAAAATTTGAGGATTCTTCAAAAAATATTGTAAACGAAAAATCCAAAAATGATCCGAGCAAAGTAACTGAAGCAAATACTCTAAAGGCAAAGTTATCTTTAATTGTCGATTCCTATGCAACATTGGGCAACGATTCCTCTCAGTCCAAAAATGAAACTCAAAATAAGACTGAGAAAAGTTATCAAGCTAAGGAGCCTTATTTTATTATTAGAAAAAATGTTAAATTTTCTACAACTCATAAGAAAGATACGGATCTAAAAATAAAAGACAAAGAAAGAGAAATTAAAGATACAGAGAAAATGAAACCACAACCCTTTTCATCACCGAAGACAAAACTTCAAGCGAGGCTCCAGAAAGTCAAAGCGGACATGAAGGATAAACAGAAAAGAACGAGAAAAGAATCCTCTTGTGATAAAATGGATGTCATTTCAAAAGATGACAGCTCTAATTTTATTGAATCCATGGATTGGGAACCTTCCAATGATTTAATTGTGAGTATATTTCGTTATTTATTATTTAAAAAATGTCCACCATGTGCCATATGGGTATTGCTGCAATTTATTTAGTCTTATTTTACAAATTAGTAATGATTTTTAAATTTGATTATGTGGCAAATGTTTTTATGTGACAGTATGGTAGATGTTCATTGACAAATATTTAAATGAGGTTTCAAGCCTGTGATATCGTTCTCTCTTCATCAACTTTACAATACATTCTTGTTATAACCAATATATAAAATAGTATAACAAAATATGAAAAAAAAATAAAATAAAATGGCAAATAAGACAAATACTAGTACTACGAATTAGTAGAACATTATGTTTAAATCTATTAAGTTTATAAATCTTATTAGGTAAATCTACTTAAGAATAGTTGCCAATACTCGATATATGTTGATGTGTAATGGCTCCATATGCTATAGTTAATTTATAAATAATAGCAGTGATACTGGGTACATTTGTAGTACAATGCTCAAGATCTATTGGTCTCCATCTTGTGTGAATGCTGACAAACCTCAAAGATTTATTTTGTAACATTTGTAATTATATAAAGTTTGTCATGAATGTGTTAAACTATATATGCCAAGCATGTCATAGAATAGCTCTGGGGTACAAGTAATTTCCATGACTTTTTATTTATTTCACATATGACATGGTACCTAGTAATAGTTGGGAAACAAATTTAGTCAACCAAAAATCACATTAATATGTTTCGAAAATTATTTTATATTCATAAATTTCCGAACTATACTCACGGTTCCCAATGGCCAGTTGCAATTTTTCTATTGTCATTTATGGTGACTCCAGTACCTGCAATGAAGACTGAGGTTCCTCCAGTATAGCTCATTGCATGAAATTACCAATGGTATAATCTTGCTTTTCTTTATTATTACTATTTATTTATTTAATACTAGCTAATGTTCCCGTCGTTGACGGATGTATAGTTAAAATTTGAGAATCTTTTTTTGTATTATGGGGGGAGGGTCAAAATTCAATTTCATAAAATTGGGTCGGGAGAGGAGAGATGAGTTGTTTTGAAATTTTTTATGGCGGGGCTTATGGAAGTCAAGGCTTCGCAATAGTCATAACAAACACTTTGGTATTCGGCTATTTGTTTAAGTGCCACATAACTAAACCGACCACCACCGATACATTAAAAGTGTTTAATTTTCATTTATGATGAAGCGAGGAGATTGTGGAGTCGATTAATTAATCAAAAAGAGTTGTAGTCTCTCTACTTCTTTAAACTCTGCTGAGTTCATCGCTTGCAAAATAACCAAAATAACATTGAACATTGAGTCACCTACACCCGTGTAAAATTAGAACTTGATCTGAATATTGTGGCGGGAGAGAGGATGAATTTTTTTGGGATTTTTTCCTGCAATCCGGTTAATCCGTTAGGGTTAATCCTAAAAATGTATACTACAACATTCGTTAGGCTCGTGAAGTTGAATCGAATGACACCTTGAACAGGAAGATCGGACAAAGTTGAAAAATCAGTGTGTTTTGCCCGTTTAATGTGACAACGCGTTACAGATGGTCAGTATTCCGGATTTTTCCTGTTGAGTTGTGATAATTTTTTCTATCGGTTCCTAACCGGGATCTCTAGACAAATTACTCAAGAATTCATAACTTTGGTTCTGCTCAATATTTTGCTTTCATTTAAAGCCTATGTTTTAAGTCAAGCAAATCTTAATATAATGTCAAAGTTTAAAAAATCTGCAATAAGCCATTGCTGAGTTTACCCCTGTCAAAATTTCGACACAATGTGGACATATAGACAGATAAAAAATTTTTAAAAAGTGGATTTGGTTTCTGCAATGTATGGAACGGAAAGATATCATAAAACGGGTTGATTCTATTCTATGTGCAGACAAAAACTTTATTTTATTTATATAAATATTTATTTAAGGGAGCATGTAGCTCAGTGGTTAGGGCACTGACTTCTAAAGCTCAAGGTCCCGAGTTCGTATCCGGCTGATGGCAGGTAATTATTTATTCTGTTTCATCAGCCATGGAACGACTTTGGGATCGGGAGACACTCCTGGGACACACCCAGTCTCTATAAAGTGGGTACAATAAATCAAGGGGAAAAACCTAGTGGTGTGCTTGATGTCGATCAAACCACATCCTTAAGGAACCGTTGACCAAGAAATAGTACTTTCTTACAAAGTACTGAACTCAAGACCCTTAATGGTTTGTTTTATTTATAACTTTGGGCCTACAATATTTATATAACAGAGGCAATAATTACTTTCCTACCTATATTAAGTAAGGAAAGTATTGCGATCGGGTCAAATTTCTGACATGCGGTTTTCGACGGATCTATACGTTTCAGAGCCTCCTGAGCCCAAAAAACATATTTTTAGCCATTGGTTTGTCTGTCTGTGCCAAGATTTTCTCGGAAACTACTGAAGCCTGTGACAGAAATTCGGTGCTCCATGCGCAATAGCTTGTGCGCAATAAATGAAAAACATGTTTTTCTAGAGACTGTAGCGCAAAAACGGCTCTAACGATTTTGATGAAACTTTTTTATAATGTTCTAATCATTGTTTTTTCAATTTTCGTATATAGACTAAATTCCCGAAAAAATTCAGGAAAAAAAATTATAAAGAAAAGAAAAATGTTATGGGGCCTAACTCCCTAAGTATATATTATACGGTAAAATACAATATATATTATTCACTTCCTGTCTTTTGAAAGATAGTGAAATTCCCTACAAAACTATGTAAAAATCGTTCATTTTGGACAACTATTAACAAAGTTACAGCCATTCAATTTCCAATGTAAGATTACGGTTTCATATCCTGGTGTCACAAAGGAGTGAATGAGAGAATAAAGATGACTAAGTTAAAGTAAGAAAATCTGTTGCCCGCATCACACAATCTTCACTATTTTCTCTACTTTTAACAGAAATTTTTGTTTGGCAGTACTAAGGTATGGCAGAAAGTTTTTGATCAGCAATATTAGAGAGTATTGAAATTTTTACACTGATCTACCTTAAGCCGGTTTACATTGCTTTAGTTTATCAAATAAATCGTACTCAAATCTTATGTTTGATTGATTTTCAGGAAAATGTAATTAATAAAATCTAGTTAAATTATTTTTTGTTTCTTCATGAACATATGTAAAGATATAAAAACTTTTCTGAAATAGGTAAGAAAGTCGTGTGAGTGGACACACCAGATATTTTTTGCCTTACATCTATAGCGTTATTTCATTATTAATGTGGTTAGTAAATGTTAGTCTAGTCTCTGTATGAACCCCTAAGTAAATATTGTATTTAGAACAAACTAAAAAATTTCCATGTATAGTTACAAAACTGCCTGTCAACGGTCTGCACATAGTGAAAAGGATGACTTATATCTTAAGATGATTAGGGTCTGATTTTCCATTTATTAACATATTTAAAACATTTTGATATGGTTATAGAGAAGTGGTTTATTATTGTATCAATTCCGTTAGAGGAGATATAAAAACATGTGTCATCTGCAAAAAAGGGCGATGGCAGTTTTACCTTAATTTCTGTTAGATCATTAATATAGAGAATGGATAGAATCGGTCCCATGGACTGATCCATACCGAACATCAGCCTGAATGTTTTTAAAATCAAATTTGGGCTCGCTAATTTCTACAAAAATTTTAAGATTTGTCTAATAATTATTTAATAGAAAAAGTATGCGTTTAAGAAATTTATGAACTGTTAGTTTATAAATCAGATATTTGTGTGAAAGGCAGTCAAAATCTTTTTACTTTCACTTACCTATATATGTAATATATAGTAAGAGAAAGTATTGTGCTCATGAAAATTTTCTAATCTTAGCTATCAATGGAAATACACGTTTTGAGGTCTCCTGAATCCAAATAACCAAGTCCCAAAAAATGGTATGTGTTTCTATGTGTATGTGAACAGTCTAACTCAAAAACCAAAAGTCGTACGGAACTGATATTACGTATTTAAGATATGCCTTAGATGTGGCAGCAACTTTTTCCTTAAAATTGGCTAACTGGAAGTGTCACTTTATATCAATAGTGAAACACATTTTTATAATTTTCTTAAAAACGGCTCTAACAATATAATATATCGTTCGAAAGCAGAAAATTAAAAAAAAAAAACAATATCTAATATATAAAGTTATATAAGGTAACAGAGAGTGTCAAAAAAATTATAAATAATAATTTTTGAAAACTAATAATATTTAATTGATAATACTTACTTTGTTCATATTTTATTGTACTTACTGTTTATAATTTTAATAAGCTTATTCACATAGTTTATAAATTATGTCAGAATATTATGTAACTGCCACAATTCTCTATCTTTTTGTATCTTGTCCATTCTAGCCCTGATGAAGACCTGCAAAGTCGGCTCGAAACGTCGGCTTTCAATAAAATAGTTTTACCACTATTTAGCCTATTTATGACCGCAACCCCGGACCATCTTCTTCCTTTAATAATATTTAACGTAAATCACATGTTTTCAAAGAAATTAAATGAAATTTACTAACTAAATATAAACTTTTAAAATATTTTTAAGTTTAAAAAAGTATTTAATATCCACCTAATCAAGGCAATGACAATGTTAAAAAAACTATTTCATTTTACTTCTGTGAAAGAAGAAGTAAAATATAAAATCATTTCATGGATGAAGAAAGCATATGTTTATAACCTAACATTAAATACATTTACTGTTGTTTAATAATTCTAGATCTGATATTATATTTAAATAATTAGGTATCAACGTCCGTTTATTCCAAAATATTGTGATCTAACTTTTTAGAAAATTAAATTAGTGAATAATTTCATGAATCTTCCCATTGTGATATTCCAACAGTATCTACTACTTTTTCATTGCACTTGTTTGAAAGAAGAAATGAAATATAAAAATATTTCATAGATATGTTTATAACCTTAAATATATTTACTGTTGTTTAATAACTCTAGATCTGATATTATATTTAAATATTTACGTATCTATCATCCGTTTATTCCGAAAAATCATCATGTAATCTTTTAGAAAATTAAATTTGATGAAATTTCCTTTTGTGTTATTACAACAATATCCACATACAATTATTGTGAACACTTTTGACCTGTCTATGACAGACAATGCAAATCTCTTGATTCCGTTTTAGTAAACTTTGCAATGGAAAATAACAGTTTAATAACTAACAGTCATACAATCCATAATCAACCGGTGATATAATAAATAGGAATTTTGATATTTTAATGTTATTTATAATTTGTTAGCTGCAATATTTTAGCTATAGCACAGTTAAAAATGCAATTCAAAAATTTTATAATAGCCCAACATAGCCAGAAAATAATTTCTATTCAAAGTGGAGTGTTAAGTGAAAGTTGTGTGTTTAACAGCGCACCAGATTTTTTATATTAATAATTCTTTTTTATATAAATAATTTATATTTATTGTAACAGTTATTACTATTTGTCTTATGTTCAAGAAGTAGATGGTCCGAGGCGGCAGTCATATAAAAAAACATTAAATAGTTGTTCACTATTTTAAGTTTATTTTATGACCGCCATCCCGAACCATCTCCTTCCTTCCTGAATATTATGATCAATCATTTAGTACTTATTTGTCTTATGTTTATTTTCAGCTGCGCTCTATCAGAGATGAAGTAGATCCAAGAAAGGAAATGATGGAATGGCAAGATATTTGCGATTCCGGTTATAATATTTCTCGAGAAATTTGTGGAAATAGTTTATACCTTGTCGTTGACACAAATGTTTTAATCAGAAATATTGAGCTCATCAAAAAGCTTTCAAAAGCTGTCATCAGGGGTAAGTTACTTTTTTAGTCCTTAATATTTAATTTTTTTATTCATTTGTTCGAAATTGTTGGTTATTGCAAAATACAGCTGTCTATACTGTATTAGTATAGCAAAATCTAACCCTTAATGTTATCAACAGAACTAATGAGAGTGTGGTGTTGTTTCTCTTTTCTAAAAGAGTCTTCTGTCGGTCCATCTAATTTCCTGTTGTAAAGTTATATCTGCTTTGTATTGGCACCTCCAGAAGTTTTTAATATACCCTAGTTCCGTACAGCATCAAAACATTCCCAATTCAAAACTGTGAAGCCCGTATGATGAAAGTCATGCTGCATCATTCTTTAAAGTCCAGCTTCATTATTTCAGCTACCCCCAAATCGGTCATATTGATGACAGTTTTTTTTTTTTACTAAGTTCAGGCTTTGAGGAATATACTATTACTATAAATCAAATCAGAAGTCAAGTAGGTTTAATTTTCTAGTTATCAGTTAGTCTTCTTACTGTTTAAATGAGGATTACCTCACAGATTACGTTTCAACAATGTTCTTAACTCCTGAAATCCATTTCTAGAACACTTTTTTTTTATTATTATTTATATGATATTTACAACTGTATAAAAAAAATACATTTAGTAAATTCCCACATAGATATAATGACATGAAACACATGTTGAGAAACTATCCATTGGTAGCACTCTAATAATATGTCTATATTAGGAGATCACGGGGCCATCTTCTTTTCAGACGCCTCGGAGGGTTATCAGGAATTGAATAGGAAGCAAGGTTAGAAACAAGAGGGTTGGGATGGTTATGAAGTTTATTATGGAAGGATTGATATCTGGAATGGGCCAAATCTGATACATAAGGAACATTAAGGTCATTGTGGATGATTTTATTTCTAACAAAGTAAAGAGCATTGAGGATTTTACGAAGGATTTTGGATTGTAAGGATTGGATACGAGAGGAATTTGAAGGTTTGGTGGAGCCCCATAGCTCAACTCCGTAAATCCAAATAGGCCTTATTATAGCCATGTATATAAGTCTTTTGTAATTAATTGGAAGGTTAGAGCGTTTGTCTAGTAAGTGTTGAAGTAGTCGACGTCGAGTGGTTTCTTGTCGTTTCAGTCTGGTAAGAGGATTCCAAGTTAATAAACATTTGTCCTGGTGGAGTCCTAGTTAACGGATTTGTTCAACAGGAATAAGTGAGGTGTTGTTAAAGGATACTGAAGGACAGGAAGTCATAGGTTTACGACGAAGGGTGAAGATAATTTGATGGGATTCATTGGAATTTATTTTAATTCTCCAGTTTTGACACCATTCTTCAAGGTTTGTGATGTGTGATTGAAGGATTTGGGATGCAATTGATGGGTCGTTATTAACTGATAAAATACATGTGTCATCGGTCTATGTGGTGATGACAGTGTTGGGATGGGTTGGAATGTCAGGTGTATAGACTGTGTGAAGGATAGGACCTAGCATACTACCTTGAGAAACACCTGCAGACTGGGAAAAGCGGGATATATAGACATTGTTGTGATTTACTTTAAAGTATCTACCAGTAAGGTAGGAACGGATAATGAGGAAGTATGTAGGAAGTAAGTATTTGGAAGGAATTTTCGGAGTTTGTACAGCAGTCCCGGGTCTAGAACACTTAAAAAGTTATTGAAGAGTCAGTTGTTATATTCAAGAGTTTATTGATAATCTCTTTGAGGGCATAAAAGACTATTAGACTATTGTAATTCATGTCAGAGGCAGTATCATGAGCAGCTTAAGTCGATTTTAATCCAAATTACAGCATTATATTTAGAAATGTTGTAAGATTTTTTTTAATTATCAATAAAACATTAAATAATATTTTCTTTTACGATCATAGGATCAAATCCTGTCACCTAATTCCCATCACGCCTGGTCTTTGTGGGAAGTTAGACCATTTTCCCTTTATTAGTAGAGGTCTATAATTTGAAACATACTTGTAAGAACAGGCTAGTAAAAAAAAATGTCTGGAAATTAGTGTTGCCCAAAAATGGTCTTGGTCTCGGTCTTGCACTTTTGCAAGACCAAGACCAAGACCGCTTTGATTTTCACAAGACCAAGACCTAGACCGGACCCTCCAAGTCTTGCGCAAGACCAAGATTTACCTGCACGAGTCTCGCAGTTAAATAAAACTGAGCTTTGTGCGTTATTGAGTATTTGGTTTCCATTTGACTATAAAGTAAGTCGTTAGAAAACTCAAATCTATTGTATTGATTATTATAATGTGATATTAATACGGTGTTTCAACATTTTCACCTTACATTAAATCTAGACAGTTTTTTTTTCTTCTTGAATCGTGAATTTGAGCTCAGACCTCCAAAACTTTTAACATATTCCAACATTGGAGTAAGATAAGATGACAAAAAGAAATTGGTTTTGGTGTATGAAAATGGAGAGCAAAATAGTTTAAAGGACAACGTTAGTTTATACATGTAAAGGCTAGGAAAATGCAATTTATTTTTGTATTCGTCTCTTCTTTTCTATCATCGGGGTTTAATTAGATTTCTCCATCAGAAATATGACAGTAATATCACTAATATATAATGATAAAATAATTGACCACCAAACCACCTACGCCACCTATGATGATAATATTGCTTCAGTTACGACTTATCAAATGATTATGTGGGATTCCCCACAGGTACACCTACTAACTTCGTCATCTATCTTTGGAATTATATAAACTTATGTATTTATGTTTTGAAAGATGGTAGTCTACACAGCAAAGTTGAAATTTATCATCCTAGATCGAGCATAGTAATAGTTTTTGCGCCAGCCAATATTATGACCAGAGCCCGATTTTTATGCAGTAAAAAATGTTAAACAATGCCAAATGAATATGAAATGAGTTAAAACACTATTTTCTAGAAACTCTAGAAGTTTGCTCCTAGTAGACTAAAAAATTCAAAGTCAGGATTCTTAAGAAAAAAAATTCTTCTTAAACATAGATCAGACATAATTAGTAATAATTAAAAAAAAATGTAAGATATTTATTAACCTTTTAACGTGGGTGGACTCATATATGAGTCGAGAGCCTGTCGGGCTCTTCTCTTGAATTTGCGATGTGCTCAGTGATGTAACTCTATTTTCGAATTATCTCGCGACCTTTCTATGAGACATAAGGTAGTTTTTTGTTTGGGTATTATGGGAATTTTTTTTATGACCTCAGCAGCTAACTGTTGCGACCCATACCTGACAGGCTCTTGTCTCCTTTTATACCTGTATTTATATCTTCAACAGATCTATACTGATCTTGAGTTGACAATAAAATGCAAATTCCAATAAGATCTTTTTTGATCTATTCTGCAATTTGGCACTAAATAGATATTTTTGCGATTTTGCTCTAAAACTAATCTCCTTTGAGACAGCTTGTAATGTTATCAATAAACAAGTTAAAATAAAAATAAAAATAAATCTATTTTGTAATTTGGCATAAAAAAGATCTATTCTTGTTGCTTCCTTGAGTTGATTATATAACCAATTTACGCAAAACCAAATATCTAATTATATAAATTTAACGAAGGTATCGGCATCGAACCTTTGGGTTCACTAAGTCTTTTAGTTTTATTATTATTATCATCAATTTAATGAAGAAAAATTGAAATTCCCTTGAAATAGCCAAATATTTGTCTAGATAGCATTAGCAAGTAATATCCTAGACGAAAAAACAAAACATTTGTGTATTGAGTCAGAGGAAGTGGTTAATTCCCTACTTTGATTCCAAGAAAGATTTCCTGTTTACGGATGGCGTTTCATTTGATTATCTTATTTAATGCTTTATAGTTTGCAAGAATACATAACGTGGACAATTCTCTTTGTTTACATTCTGAAATAAAGGAATAAAGTTCCTCCTAGTTATCAAATCTCCGACAACGTATGTTATATTATATCTCCATCGCTCCCTGTTGACTTATTTGATAATTTTCCGACAAAGACCTGACTTTATCAAAAGGCTGTGCGACAGATGTACTACAGGATTGACTTTGCTGCCATCGCTTTCATGACAAAGGTTACCGACCTTCCAAAGAAAAATAAGCTTATAGGCTTACGAACCGGAACGGACTGATTTATGAAAATCCTTTTTATTTTAAATATATAATTATAAGTCTAACAAGTGCAATGGATTGAAATTAAACATTGTATAGATGCAAGTAATTTTACATGTTAGGGAGGGGAAGTTTGAATGTGGAGTAGGTGTTGGAACAGGAGTTGTTTGAAGGAATTTGTGGATGAGGATTGACGCATGGGGGTAGGAAGTGAGTTCCATAAGGAAGCAGCACGAATGACGAAGGATTTGCTGATGGAGGAAGTTTTATGGGAGGGAATATATAAGTAAGTCTATAGGTTGAGACCTAAGTTGGTATTGGTTAGCCAAATTCAGGCTACATTGTACATATGTTTTAATACTTTAATTAAATTCAACAGCGTATAATTCGACAACAACAAAATCTGGCCGTGGATAGCTCAGACCTGATTGGGTAATGGTAGTTTTAGTTCAGAGAAGAACATAAAAAGTGGTATATCCGTTTGGTACCACTGTGTTCAGTCCGTTTTGGAGAAACGTTTCAATCAAAATCTAAATAGAAAAATAAAGAACGTGAATGACGCGCAATACTTGTTCATAATCTCTAAGTGCCCAAAATAATAACCCCTAAGTACCTAAACTACTAATAATAGCATTTATGAATTTTATGTGCGAATCGAACATATGTGCTAAAAACATTAATCAATTAATTGTATAAACATATGTATTTATGCTTTATGAAGTTTAAAATTAACATTATACGGCTCTAATGATTTTAATGAAACTTTCTTCTAATTTTCTACTTAAAGTCTTTTAAATTTTCGTATTTTTAGTGAATTCTTGAGACAATTCAAGAAAAAAAGTTATAAAGAAAAGAATATTGTTTTGGGGAGCTACCTCACCATGTATACACCTATCGGTTTTAAACGGATCTAAATGTTTCTGATCCTATTTTTTGAAAGGTCATTAAATTTCTGACAAAATTGTTGACAAAAAGATCATCTGAATCGCACCAGTTTTAGCTGTTATAGTATATATTGGTTTTTATACGTTGATTTTAATGATGGTTCACTTGCCTGTTAACATTGCTTGTTTTATTTTTATTTATTGTTACATTCCGCATCTAGCGTCGGAACATTGCTTGTTTCATCTAAGGAATCCTACTCAAATGATTTCACGGATCGGTTTTTAGGAAAATGAATCTATGTCAATTTTTGTTTCTTTATCTAATTTTTTAATATCTAATATTTTTATCTAATGGATACATTTAAAGTTGTATTTTTTATTTATTTTTTTAAATATATAGGAAAGTCTTTTAAGTGAACACAATAAATTTCTAATTAAAATCATTGGGAACAATATATAAATTGTCTTTACTCTACAACTCTTTCATTCCATATAATCGGAGGGATGGAGGAGGGTTATCACTAACTTTCTTTATTCTTAATTTTATTTAGTTGTACTTTACAATGTTTATGTCTATAAAACATCTAATTGTAGTTATTTTGTAGCGTTGTTCTAAAATTTAAAATACCATATTAATAAATAGCAATAATCTGATAGTTAGCGCACTTAGTCTTGCGCAAGACCAAGACTAAGTGCGCAAGACCAAGACCAAGGTTCGTTGATGCAAGACCCAGACGAGACCGAGGCGGTCTTGGTCTTGGTCTTGCATTGGGCAACACTACTGGAAATAAATCCAATTTAAATAATGCTCATTCATTTTCTTAAATCCTAAATTAATTAAAGTACTACTTCTTAAACAAATAAATTTGAAGATGATGCCTTAATTTTGTCCACCAATGTATGAGCCTGTAAATAAAAAATCATAATAATATTAGTTGTTTTCGTCCTTAATCTTAGTAAACATTTTTAAAGATCAACACATTAATTGAAAGTGTGTACCTTTTAAGGAGAAGATATTTTCATTGTTGCTTATAAGGAATTATTGTAAATTAAATATAACTAATTTTTTTTAAGTATATTAGGTGTTGTTTTTTTTAATTTTTACCAAGCATATAGCATATTTTTTTAAATAAGAAATTTCAATGATATGAATTGAATTAGTTAATTACTTGAAGCTCAAATGTCATCATCTCATGAATTATAGGTTATTGTTGTTATACAATGTTAATAAAACTTTTTTTATTGTTATGATATTTGTATTTTGTTTCATTAGGCTTTAAAATAATTCAAGTAATACCTTGGCAAGTTCTTAAAGAACTGGATAATTTGAAGACCAAAGTTAATTACGAGAATGTAAACATATCTGCGAGAAAAGTGATTCGTTTCCTTTCCGAAGCGACAAATAGTGACCAATCCAATGTCGTCTTTCAGTCTCAATCAAAGCACTTTGAGGAATGTCACACTCAGTTCATTGTTGAGGTACCTGACGATCACTTGATTAAGTGCTGTTATCAGTTCAAAGAAAAGAGTCACAAAGTGGTAAGCATTTTATTATAAGTTATTTACTATTTTTAGCAATGATAGAATGTATTTTTAAAAATATTATTTTAATTAATAAATGGTATATTCAATTTTATTTTACATCTATTTGGAAAAATGTTAGTATGCAGGGGAGTAAGGAGGGTCACATAAAATAGAGTTCTACAATAATATTTCATGGCTGCCCAACTGTGTTGAGTTGTTAAATCGCACAGCATACTCATCAGTCCAAGCGATATTATTTAAAACCAAATAAAAAGAGCTAGTTGGGACCATTAGACCAATTGAGAAGTTTCTTTCTCCCTCAATTCATCCCTATATTTTTCTTTTAATAGGTTATGTATTTCTTATAAATTTCCTCTTTCTATGTCTGCACCTTAAAATCTTGATTTTTATCGTTATTTTCAAACCTGATTGTGTGATCCACTGTTAGCACTTCCTTTTCTGTTGCATTAAATGCTAAATTGTCAACGAACCTTGCAGAGCCTTTTGTATCTGGAAAATAACTTCGAGGAAACATCTAAAGTTGTTCATTTCTAAGCAACATTAACATGAATTTAATAAAAACCTAAGTTTTCTCGAACTCTTGTTACACAATTTTCCTTTATTTTATATGTATGTTTCGGCGCTTCGCCATCATCAGCATATCTGAAAAAATTCTCATTTATTTACATACATTCTGTTTAATTAAATAATCTTTTATTTATTATTTTAAAATAATCTTTCTACTTATCTTTTATAAATTTAAAAAAATATAATTTATAGCAATTACTGCTATTCCGATTATCGCAATTTCTTTTTTTCTAGAAAAACATTCTGAAATTTATTATCGTCTATTTTCTTTGTCCAATAGACAATGGTCACTTTATTTAAAAGACAAATTATATTTAAATCACATATAAAATTTATCAAAATACTTCAAAACATATAAATAATAAATTAAAGGATTCCAAAACACTCAATTCTCTTTAAATAAATTTAAAATAATTAAAACCTGTTATTTTATAACATACTCCAATATAAATTATTACATTATATTAAAACTTTATTTTATCCAATTTATTTATTTTACTGTGTTACTCGTAGTAACATAATTCAATTAAAGGATCTATTTCTATTAATTTATCGCTTTTTTATTTTTAGATATATTATAACCTTAATGGAGGGGGAGTGGGAGAAGAGAATTCCTCTGAAACTTGCTAATATATTGATCATTTTTTGTTTTCTTTAGATATAATAATAATTCAAAAGAATCTATTTTATAATCCAAAAGCCACCGTTAATGATGTATAAGAATATATCAATCATCCTGTTATTATTTTCTTTTATTTATTATCTCTGTGTAACGTGTGTTTTAATTTTTTTTGTGTCATTTCTAAAATTCACCTATTAGTACACAAAGAATATAAAATAAAGAAAATTGTGAGAAATGAGATTGAGAAATTTTTTTTTTTTTTATTAATATAACTTATTACAGTTTTGAGGATGTTCTAGTTAATATGCTTTAATTTATATTATTGAGTTTCTATGGGTGTAACTACTGAATCCCAAATAACTACCTTATTTATTTTAATCAACTTTACTGAAGTGGAGTTACGTATATCTTTGTTGTTTAAAACATTACTAATATAAAATGTATATATTTGACGCAACAACCCGATAGTAAGAGTGGGTCTCCTCGATCAGCCTCCATCAGACGGCTTGTGCTGCAGCAGCCATGTTCCTGATATTCAAGAGGTTGCTTACTATCCTTGATAGATGCACCTCTTCTGTCATTGCCTTCCTTTGGATCTCATTAATAAAAATTATTTTATTTTGGCCATTTCACCCCTTTATTTCTTAGGGATTCAGATACTCTGACATGGGGAGGTCAAACTCAGTGGATGACCGATTTCATCCAATTTTTTTTTTAGGTAATACTGCATCGAAAAATATTGGACACATGTCCCTGGCATTCATTTCAATGAGTCCTAGGACCTGAGAAAAATATATTTTATATAATTTCAAACAGTATTCATGTTATTTATTTTTGCCTTTACTTTGACCTGATTCTTAAGTTATTATATACCTAGTGATTTCATTTTTTGTGCTGAATAAGGAAAAAATATTAACTAAGATATGAGATAAATTATAATCCGTCATAAATAACAAAAATCAAAAGTTGCTTCCAGTGAAGTAGGCCAAGCAGATTTTCATTATTAAAGAGCAAGTTAGATTAATTTTAAGGGTCCTTTAAAATTCTTAAATACAAATTTTTATAGAAATAAAAGAAAACAACCTTTATTACTCGATTTTCTTCTTGGATGATTTTTTTTTTTTTTTTTTTTGGCCATAAATTAAAGCATTTATAACTCCTCAGTATTTTGGTTCAAATTCAACATTAATATAAACGTTGGAAAGCTGAATTATTGCTTTTCCAATCGACATCAAAAACTTTGATTTTATTCCTTTGAAGACAGAAATTTAAAAAAACTTTAAACATTTTTATTTTATATCTTTCCTTCTAATTTGTTTATGATAGCCAGGTTTATACCATTCCGTGTAGTATAAAGAGCCCTACATCCCTAATATTTTTTTTTTGTGAATCAGTAGAGTTGTCTTGAAGTTATGGCAATTTTTGTGGTTGTCGACCAAATTTCAAAGGGTTCATCCTAGGCAAAAATTTCCTGCAAAAAAAAAAAAATTTTTTTGATTGATATAAATATTTATATTTAAGAGGTTTTCAAGGTGAGGAAAATGAATATCAATGTTTCTACTTATAGAAATATTTACTCCTACAATACTATGTCAGTTGGTCCAGTTTGTTTACTTACTATAGCTATTCGAAAAATAGAATATTTTTTTTTAAACCATCCTGATATCTAGAGTAAAGATTTTTTTATTTGGAATGAACGCTGGGACATCTAATATTTTGTGAGTAGTATCACCAAATAAATTGGTGACTCACTGGCTGTGACCTCCTCTTATGGTTGTGTAAACAGAATGCTGAGAACTAATTCATATTATTATCCTCTCATATATTATTACAGTAAGGCTCGAAATCGGTTTTGTACCAAATATAAGCTCATGTCATGCTCAATTACTATGAATGGGCTACCGTTGGATTCAGAATTTCACTGGGGGTTAGCGAATCGCATTATCCACTTATGTTTTTCTTTCTAAAATAAATAAAGTCGATACAAACATTTTGCTAGGCTTCAATACTGAAACGGTGGTAGATCTGTAGATCGATACTGGACAAATTGGAAATTGAAGGCATATGGTTCGCATCCACACAACCTGGCGTTAATTGTACTACTGTCATTGAATACATGTCTCATTTCGTCGACTTGAGGTGTCTATGATCGAGAGAGGAGGAGTTTATATTATTTATCAATGGTGTTTTTGATCGGCAAGCCATATCATCGTTAATTTTTCACCAAATCTCAAGATTGAGCCACCAATTTCGAAGGCTTCCTTCTCCTTCAGGCGGGCAAAATAGTCCTATCACCTCGAAAATTCAGGCAAACAAGTTCTGAAAGAAAACAAACTTTATTTGAGAATAACTGAAAAATTAAACACTTTTCCCTTGGTTATGCCCATGACTTTATAAAAGATTACTAAATTCCCTACAAAATGAAAAAAAAAAAAATCGAAATCGGACTATTTTTAGCAAAGATACAGCTTACTGAAATTTGTATGCATGTTGGTTCCAAACAAAGATGAAGATTTAAATAAATTTTTGTTTTCTTTGTCGATTATATTTATCGATAAAGGAACAATTGATTCCTTTATCTTTTGATACGTTGCATTGTTTTATTTTCTTATTAATTTGGCATTTGATAACAATATGCTGTGAGAATTTTTCGCACGGGCCTATTAGTGTTATAAATTGATTTGATGTTTTTTTTTTCAGCTACTTTTATCAAATGATGTCAACCTTAGGGTAAAAACAAATACTAACAATATCCAAGCTGTAGACAGCAATTGGATAGCAAACATATTAAACCAAGAATCAAAGTCTCGAAGTAAGTACATTTTTTTTTTAATATATTTTTTTTATTTTAATGCATGTGTAAATATTTTAATGACATTGAAATCATATAAATCAGTGATATCATGACATTATTAATAGAAACGAATTAAAATATTTTTGTATGATGATTATTCATAATAATTTATTTCAGAACAACCCATTCACGTTTTTGAAGAAGAACCGAAAGATGGCCAAAGAGGTCGTGATGATGACACTTGTCAATTTGCTCATAAAACAACTCGAGTTATGCTGTCTTCTCTTTACAATGTAAGTTTATATGGTTAACCATTCAGAGTTAATATTTTATTTGAATCATTTGCTACATATTCATTATTCAGCTTATTTATTGGTTCCAATTTATAATTATTTTCAATAATGAGCCTTTATTATCAACCAAGAAAAAAAAATGTTAACATTCCTCTCCTATTTTTCCACTTTAACTAGATAACAATGGTTACCAGTAGGTTAGCTATATTTATTATACATTAGGTATATTGAATAAACATTTTAAATTTATTTATCCTTTGCAAATATCCTGTTACAGATCGTTTTGTTGAAATACAAAGAAAAATATGGAGACTTATGGCCTCTCTGGGTTCCGAAAGAACCTCATTTTCCTGATTTGATCAACTTCATGACTTCTAACGTTTATTTTCAGTCATATTGGATCAAACTGAACTCGATTAAAGATTTTTTTATAAAAAATAAATCATGTAAGTAAAAGAAGAAAGTTACTAATTTAAAAAAAAAATCAATTTTATTATAGATTTTTTTTCCGGATATTACTTTTTTAAATGTGATTAATTTATTTTGTGTTAAAATAAAAATTTAATTTTATTGGATATTTTGGAAAACTTTAAATTAAGTATGACAAAACGATATATTGTATTAGATTTTATTTTAGTTTGCTTCAATATAGTAATTCAGTTGTTTTCAAGAGACTATATTACTTAAGCAATGATTTTATATTTATCTGTTCTTAATTAGTACACATTTCGTAACGCTGTCAACAATTTCTGTTCCTCTAGATGATAATGTTAAACCAGGAGACATTGAAAAGTTGGGTCGAAATTTTGTCAGTTTACTAAAGTCCATTTGCAGTGATAACTTTATTCCTAATGATCTGGCAATGCAGTTTTTTAAAGAATTGGTATGTTCTTTGTTTTGATATGAACACTTTTAAAATTTGTTTCAGGCTTAAATATTTAAACTGTCTAATAATATTTGTTATATTTTTTCAGGGCTTTTTAAAATGTTTTCCTATTTTGGATTGGAGTGATTCCAATTATATTGAAGGTTCATACAGATTGGGTCAAAAATATCTTAAGGATACAGAGGATAGCCTAAATGAGTTTGTGTAGTTATCAATTTCTTTGTTAATGGAGCTGTTTATCTAATGTTATGAATTATTTTTAATTTTCTTCTTCTTTTTCAGAGCATATATAAGCGCTTTGTATGCGGAAAAGGGTTCTATGCTTTATAGGAATGAAGATGTATTGCATCATATTGATGTAAATTTAAAACTAATAAATCAGTTTAGGAATGCTATTTTACAGTAAGTTTAAACACGTCTCTAAAATTTAAATTGTGAATGAATGAATGAAAATAATTTTATTATTCTGAGACTAGTGTCCCTTTAGAACAAAGTCTAAATACAGAATATATATTAACATTCTGGTGTGTCCATGAAATATAATTATATATTTACAGGATGATTGATAATAAAATTTATTTTGAGCCGACGTTTTGGCCTAAGTTGCAGGCCTTCATCAGGCCTGGGAAAAGACAAGATAATGACCAAAATTATTTATAAAAACTATTGTAAAAGGATATGAAAACAAAAATTATGTTATCTGCTAGTGAATAAATTTTAAAAAGTGAAAAAAAAAATTATAATATATGAGTATTATATGTAATTGTATGATGATAATGATATTGGTATGGCAATGGATGAAAACATAAGTAAGCTATAATGAAAAATAATGAAGTTAAAGATAACAAAGTAACATTAATAAGGAAATGAAATAAACAATTAAATGATGAAGAAATTAAATCTAATATTTAGTTATATAGAGAGAACTACAATAATTTTGGATTCCTGTTCAATTGGGTTGCTAAATAACACAGCATACGCAATCAATCGACAGATGATATTAAAAATAAATAAACCAGAGAGGGTTAGGTGGGGTCCAGAACAGTATACAGGATCGAATAAGGGAAAGCCAAGATCAATCAATATATGTGGTGATGGAGTATTCCCTACGAGTCCAAAATAATAGTTTCTGCCATGGTCTCCATCTGCTCCCTTCCAACACCGAGCCTCCGCAAGAAATTACTTGTAGTAAGAGGGATGGTTCCCCTGCTTCCGAGCCATAGCCCTATAACCCTTTGACTGTGGGAGCTCATTCGCAAGTTTCTATCATACGTTACATCCTGAAATCCACAAAGACGTCAAAAAAAAATTTGTATGAATTTATTTAAAATACTATTTTGAGTCATCCTGAAAGATCTTAGCTTTCAAAAATGCATTTGAACTTTTTTATTCAACTTTTAAAAACGGGATATGTCTTCCTGGGGGAGCGGCAATCCCGCATCACTTCGATTTCTTATGTATTTGCTTATTTCTGAAAAGTAAAATAACTGAAAATTATCTTAACAATAACTGTAAGTGATGATAAAAATTAAATTATATTATTTCTAAAAAAGGACACTGACGGCAGGATTCGAAATATATATTTCTTTAAAGGAAGGAGATGGTCCGGGGTTGCGGTCATAAAAAGGCTAAATAGTGGTAAAACTATTTTATTGAAAGCCAACGTTTCGACCCGACTTTGCAGGTCTTCATCAGGGCTAGAACGGACAAGATACAAAAGATAGAGAATTGTGGAAATTACATAATATTTAGACATAATTTATAAACAATGTGAATAAGCTTATTAGAATTATAAACAGTAAGTACAATAATATGGACTAAGTAAGCTAAGTAACAAGATCCTAAAATAAAGTAAATAGATGCTAACAATTGTTGTAGTGTAATATATAACAAATGAAAATGTGAGTATAATTCTACAAAAAATACAGGAGAAAAAAAAAAAAATAAATAAAAAAATAAAATAAAATAAAATAAGATTAGAGACTTACAGGTGTGTTCCTCTAGGAGTTTCACTTAAAACTGGAAAGGCAGCGGTAAGGATTGCAGGTATAGGGGGGGGTTAACATGTGTTAACTAAGTAAAGGATTGCAGGTATAGAGGGAGTTAACATGTGTTAACTAAGTAAAGATTGAAAAACCCAGGAATGTATAGTACCTAGGAATTTTTGAAGATATGGATGGATATAATGGAAAATTACTATATCTATAAATATTAAAATTATAAATATATAAATATACAAGTAAAATAGAGTTGAGAGATGTGAGAGGTATTTCATGATTCTAGATCAGAGTACAAAGTGAATACACCCAAAATTGGTAAAGAGTAAAATGTAAATATAGAAATAACTTTATTAACACACATACATTGCAGAGCTAACTTAAAAGTATAGAGAGGGAAAAGAAAAAAATAAATACAAAATATAGAGTGGTCATACATTGGTGTAGAGTGTAAATGTAAATTTAGAAAAATAGAAGAGAGATCATACAAAGAAGGAATATTTAGAATAATGACCAATTAAATGAATTAATTAATAAAAATTGAGAGTAGATGAAAATAATAAAATAGAATATTTATGTTATTTTTCCCTTATAAGACTTAAAATGTGTCTATATGTAAGAGAAATACAGTTTTTGTCTACTTTGTGATTAACGGGATTGTGTTCCATGTGAATGTGGATAGATTCGGAAATGAGTCTTTTTTCATGGTTAGGGACCGTGGAAAGGATAGAGGTTTTTTCAAAATCAAATGAGTGGTTGAGTGTTAAAGCATGTTCTGATAGTTTGGAGGCGGAGGGATTCCGGGAAGTTATGGACGTTTTATGTTGGGAAATGCGGGTTTTGAGATAGTTTTTGGTTTCACCAATATAGGAGCTATTGCAATTAGGAGTAGAGCAAGTTATCCGGTAAACTACATTGGATCGGTGTTGTAAGAGTATGGGATCCTTCAAGTTGGTGAAAAGGGAAGAAAGTTTGTTATGGGACTTAAGGCCAAGGCGTAAGTTGGTTATAGTCGATTTTAGGAATTTTTGTATATTGTGTGAGAGGATAGGGATATAGGGGAGAGATTTGTATATGAAAGGAGAGGTAGATGATTGTGGGGAGTTGGGAGAGTGAGAGGCTGTATTGTTTTTGGTTGTATAGTAATTTAAAAGTTTATGTATGGTATTCAGAGGAAAATTGTTAGAGAGCAGTATATTTTTGACACGTTGAGTGTTGGCTTGATGGTATTGTGGATCGGATAAGGAGAGGGATCGGTGAATAAGGTTTTTGGCGGTATTGATTTTTTGGTGATATGGGTGTTGGGAGTAATAGTTGAGTAGTCTGCCTGAGTATGTGGGTTTAGTGTACCAGTCAGTAGAGACAGAACCGTCAATGTTTTTCATTATTAGGAGGTCTAAGAAGGGGAGCGAATTGTTATCTTCTTTCTCTATGGTGAAACGGAGACGGGGGTGATAGGAGTTGAATAAGAAAAGAATTTGGGGGATGCTGTCAGGGTTAATAACAAGGAGGAGGTCATCAACATATTTTTTTATGAAAATGATGTCTTGATGAAAAGAAGGGATAACAGAGTCAAGAAGGTCATTGAGAACAATATTGGAAATATCAGGTGCTAAGGAATTTCCCATGGCTAGGCCAGAAATCTGATGAAAGAATTTTCCTTGGAAGCTGAGGAAACCGGATCTGCAACAAAGCTCAAGGGATTCAAGATATGAGGAAAGGTTAAGGGTGGTGTGAGGTTCAATGATTGTCCAGTTTTTCTTTACAATGTCTAGGGCTTTGTCTATTGGGATGTTGGTAAAAAGGCTTTCGGCGTCTAGGGAAACCAGGATAAAGTTATCAGGAATATGGAGCGAAGATAACTCTTCTTTAAGATGGAATGAATTATGAATGTCGTAAGGATTATTGTGACTAAGTTTTTGGAGAGAGTGTAAAAGAAATTTGCTGAGTTTAGCTGAGGGGGCGTTAATATTGGAGATGATAGGGCGGAGGGGATTTCCAGGTTTGTGAATTTTTGGGAGTCCATATAAGCGGGAGTTGGGGACCATAAGAGTCCACAATTCTCTATCTTTTGTATCTTGTCCGTTCTAGCCCTGATGAAGACCTGCAAAGTCGGGTCGAAACGTTGGCTTTCAATAAAATAGTTTTACCACTATTTAGCCTTTTTATGACCGCAACCCCGGACCATCTCCTTCCTTTATAATGCAACGGTCAACCATTAAATATTCAATATATATTTCTTTGTATTTTCAAATTTTTTCTTACCTAAAAAGTTCCATATTGAAAATAGTGCAGTTGTAAATTTTATTATTGTACTTACATTTATTTTGAATTTCAAACACTTTTATACTATATGAAATATATATATTGTTTTTGGGTGGGTGGAAAAATTATAAAACATTTTAAATCTGTAAAAAAGTATCATTTTAATTCTGTATATTTTTATATTCATTAATTTTTACTATTACATTTTAATTTTTGTATATTTTTAAATTTATTTGTTTAGTAGACAGAGATTCACGTGTACCGAAATCAGCATTCAGTCAAAACAAAAATTAAAAAAAGAAAGAAAAAATTATAAAATTGACTTATTAATATTTATTTGATGTGTAAAACAATTTAAATAAATAGAATATAAATAAGATCATGGATATGACACAAATAATAGAGAAAGAACTTACCTTGGGAATCCGGAACGACCACACTGAATCAGCTACAGAGGATTAATCAATGCACATATCAACCCACTAATCAAATGGTATCCCGTCCGCAGTCAAAGGGTTAACTGATAATTCTCTTTCGCCGAATTTATCTCTATGCTTTTCTTTTAAGTAAGGTATGCATTTCTGTGCCCTGAAGTCTTGATCCTGATAGTTAGTTTCAAATCTAATGATGGGTTACACTATTTTGAATGTTAGAACCTAGTTGAGCCTTCCATATCTAGGCAATAAAGCTCGAGGAAATATCTATATTTCTTCATTACAAGAAATTTGGATATTCGATGTTTTTATATTGTGCTGGCGGGTGACAAGGAGCCTGTTATTCGGACAATTGCCTAAAATATGAGCTGGGATTTCTGACTCTCGGCCACATTTGCAGCAAAGAGTTCCAACATCTCCGTTAGCCTGGCTTCTAGTCCCTGGTACTCTCCGGAGAGGAGTGTAATTAACATTCAATTTTATGGCATTCGTTCATTCTGAGTCGGTCAGCACCTTTCTCTCGTAAATTTATTGGCCCATGGGTTTGTTTTAAAATGGTACACACAGATTCCCTGCCTCTTGCACTTGCCCCAGTCTTCAAAGTTCTTTTTCCTCTGGGATTGTGCAGCTGTCAACAATGGTTCCATATTACTCGCTTCAAACCCTTACAGATCCGCATACTTTCTTACTCTGTTCCCGAAATTAATGAAATAAGTACTACATGAAATAAGTAAGATGTGGTAATTGTTGTAAGATGATGACATAATATGTTCAGTACCCTCAGCTAGGACTCAAAAACTTTTCATTTTATAAGCTTACATTTGAAACCCTTTGATTATCGAATGTAATTTATCGAGAAAAATAAAAATGTAAGGGTTATAAAATAAGGATCTATTTTTGAAAGCAAAGGCAAAGAGAAATAGGTCAAGAATAATTGAAAAATTAAACTAGGTTTTTAGTCCTATTATTCTATCCCAATTTCATAATTACTGTGGGTATATCTTACTGCATTAATCACAGTGGTTAGTGTTTCAATTTTACTAATGGCTTGACTATTTTAATGTTTCTGTGGAACTATTTTAGACTAACGTAAATTACATGTTAAACTTAAATTTTCATTATGTAATTGGATAATAAAATATAGCTGGCCTGCTACCATATTTCAGGTTTCAGTTGATTCAGGAGCAAATTTCCGAAGATAGTGAAGTAGCCAAAGCTTTACACAAAGCCATTTGTGAGTTTTTAGGTGATAAAATGGATTTATCCAGGTTTCCAATTTTCTCTCCAGAAGATATTGTCGAGTATGTGAATCCTAACAGGTAAATTCTTTTTATTTTATTTTTTGCTTAATTTTTTTTTCTTTGCTGTATTATTATTTTATATTGTTGATCTTTTTATTGTAGAAATATTTTTATACCAGCTCTTTCTTGGTTGATGAATCAAGAATCATCTCTGACTGGAATTAAATCAAAACTGATCTAATCAATTCTAATATTGATCGATCGTTATTTAAAGAAATTGAAGCTGTGATGTTACGAAGTTATAACGTTTAACTTTGGTTTGTTTTTAAGATTTGATAACAGGAAAGAAAGGACCATATTCTTTCAGTTGCTGCCGATTGGCAAGTTATTTGGTAAAGTTTGAAGGCTGATTCATGTTGTAACAGGCCGCGTACTACATTCTTGCCTCATAGGGCATTTCGAGATACTTCATCTTGAAAATACATAAAGTATGTTGTAAATACAATCTCATTCTGTTGTATTATAAACTGCTCTAAGTATTTCATTTTTACTTATCTTGATATGTCCCTTGAGGCATCCATGTGATACACTGTCCGTTCTGGCATAAATCAGTGTCCATTGTTATTATTTTTAATTTTCTAAATAATATGTTGTGTACAGTATAAAATCAGTATATTTTTGTTTGTATAATATTAAGTGTTATTGATTTTCTTTAATATATTTATATCAGTTAGGTTAGATCAGGGATGTTGTCACACAACCGCTTTTGTTTTTGTTGTTTGCATGATTTTAATCCTTATTCTTTCTTTTAATTTTTAATTTAAAAAATAATCTAATCTCTTTGATCTCACATTTGATTCAATTGTTTTTCTTAATTTGTTTCTATTTTCTGTTCTAGTTATTATTTTCAAATATATTTTTTTTGTTATTCTTATAAATTATATTTAAGGTATTATGGATGAGGATTGATAGTAAATGTTAAATCAAAATAGTTTCTTGGTCGTCAATCAATCAAGGATTTAACTGATCTGAGACATAAGAATTTATCTTTATTTATAATACATACGTGACTCTCAATATTTGAAAATAAATTATCTTAAATCATTTTAACAATGACTATATAAAATTTTATGGCATTATTTGTGACTATCTACTTATTCCAACCATCTGTTTTGAAAAAAGTTATGTATGAGGAATTAATTCATTGAAAAAATTGTCTATATTGTCATAGAAATTTAGACTTGTATTTAAATATTTATTTATTATAGAAAATCATTATTTTAAATTCTTTCTGATAGGAAAAAAAAAAAATGTTTCCTGCATTAAAAATATTACATCCAGCCATTCCGAAATACTGTTAAACAAGAGTTGCGTAAATTAAACAGCATTCTCTTTTAAGCTGTAGGTAATTGAAAATAAGCTCAGTACAGCTCATGAAAATGTGTGAATTTGATCTTTCGGCTTTTTTTCTATTTTAAACACAATTAAATTTTTTTTTACTTAATTGATTTCATAGTGTTGAATAGTTGCTTAAAAATGTTATGGGATTTATAATTGATACTTTAAACATCTGTTTTATTAAACTGAGGACTTCAGTCTTTCATAAAACACATTGTCATTTTATGTAATCTAAAACAGGAGTGTCTTTACGTAGAACCGGCTATCACTTTTTCCAGCGATCTCTAGTGGCTTTCATCTTAACTACATGCTCTAATTCTCTCGCAGTCATTTAAATTAAACTCCACCCATTGTTCTACATTTAATGCTAAAATGTGTTTTATAGCTTATAAATTAATTGTAATTAATTAATTAATATATATATGTTTAAAATATACAAAGGTACGTTTTAATTGTTTTCTTGAAGAAAAATAATTGTTTGGAAATATAGGAGCTTTCAAAAAGTATCATTACTTTTGTTGTTTTGCTTATGTTTACACACATAGGAAATTTTCTAAAAAAAATTTAATTTTAACAGAAAATATGTATATCATCATTCTGAAATTAATTTCTTAAATTTGTGTTATTCTGTAAATCTATTAATTCGATTTAGTAACTCATCTAAAACTGTTTCAACATCTAAAATAAATGGTAAAAAAAAATGGGAGGTTATGGACGTGAGTTCACCAATTTCAATGAAAATTTTTGATGATACTGGGTCAAAAATATAAGGCCGATGTCCGAGGATTCTTATCGATGCTAAGAATCAAGATATTTTAAGAAGAAACAAAATATTTTATAAAAGTGTATTATTTTTTATATTACCGTATTCTAATTTTGTTCTGCATAGATTTCTGATTTATTATATATCAATTGATTTGTTTTTTTTTTGTGTAATATAAGAAAAACATATTGCTAATTGTATTAAACGAATTCTAATATATAATAAATTACAAAAACCCAAAGACTCTTCCAGTAAAGTAGTGCAAATAAATTTTTTTTATGAAAAATCAATTCAGATTCGTTTTTAGTGTTCATTTAAACTCTTAAATACGAGTTTGTATCGTAATAAAAAAATATACTTTTTCGCCTCAATTTTTTTATGGGATGATTTTTTTCATGCCATTCACTAAAATATTCATTACTCATCACGATTTTTTCTGAAGTCAACGTTACTATAACCGTTGGAAAGCTCAATTATTGTTCTTCAAAATCATATGAATAACTTTATTTATATAGATAATATAATTTTATTAATACTGTATTATATTATCAAATTTTTCATAAGTTACGTATTAAATATTAGTTTATAAATATAAACAGGGTTTGGTTTCTCATAATGAGGTAGCTGTCAGCCACTCTGTCTGTTGGGTGTTTCCATTCTTATTTAAGCCAAAAAAACAATTAATTTATAAGCTGTAAAACACATTTTAGCATTAAAGGTAGGACAAGGGGCGGAGTCTAATTTAAATGACTGCATGAGAACAAGAGCACGTAGTTAGGATGAAAGTCACTAGAGATTGATGGAAAAACAGATAGCCAGTTCTACGTAATGACACTCCTCTAAAACACCTCTTTATTTTGTGTAACATTCCAAAATCTCTGTAGAGTCATTATTACCTACTTGTCACTTCCTGAAGCAGCACTTAGTTCGAAT